AGTGCTCATGTTTGATGTGGACGTCACAGGACGATTCGTCGTTCGCACGCATTCGAGATGCCTTCTACCCCACCGGGCTGATCTCCGAGCAAATGCCGGGTGAGGGGCAATTGGCAGCTCTTCATTGGATCGCAGACGTCATCAGCCTTAGAATCTGTTTCCCCTCAATTGCGCTGCGACACTGCTAGAGAGCTCAATCAATGCTTTTCACGCGTCTCGCAATACCAAGAACATTACGAGTAGTCGCATCATCTGCATTTCGTCCTCTCAAATCAAACAACACACCAAGCTTCCTCGTGCGAACACTAGCAACCATGGCGACAGATCCATCCAAGTACAAGCTCAACCACTCCATGTGAGTACCCGCATGTCATTCCCTGCACCATCCCCATACCATTGGCTAGTTACTAACATATGCTAGGATCCGGATCAAGGATCCGAAGCGATCTGTCCAGTTCTATGAGTTCCTTGGAATGAAGCAGATCAACCAGATCAAGAACCCCGACGCCAAGTTCGACCTCTACTTCCTCGCGTACGATAGCCCGAAGGCCGTCTCACACGGCAACCACTGGACCGACCGTGAGGGAATTGTCGAGTTGACGCACAACTACGGCACCGAAGACGATCCGAACTACAAGATTAGCAATGGCAATACGGAACCACACAAAGGCTTCGGCCACCTCTGCATCTCGGTGGACAATCTACAGGCAGCTTGCCAGAGGCTAGAAGATGCGGGCTACAAGTTCCAGAAGAAGCTCACAGACGGTCGCATGCGCCACATCGCGTTCGTACTCGACCCTGATGGCTATTGGGTGGAGGTCATTGGCCAGAAGCCATTGGAGGAGACCGAGAATGTCAAGGATACCGACACAGGCTCATACCGCATGGTAAGTAGCGTTGGGAAGACATTACGTTGGTATACTGATGATTGCAGAACCACACTATGATCCGCGTCAAGGACAAGGAGGCCTCACTCAACTTCTACCAAGATGTCATGGGCATGAAACTTAAGCGCACCTCTGAAAATGAAAGCGCTAAGTTCAACCTGTACTTCCTTGGATACGGCCCCGATGCATCCGAAAACACCGCAAACGGCGTCAACCCGGTAGCCAACACCGAAGGCCTGCTTGAGCTGACCTACAACTATGGAACCGAGAACGATGCAAACTTAAAGTACCACAACGGCAACGACGAACCCCAAGGATTCGGTCACATCTGCATTGCTGTCGACGATCTCGACGCCGCGTGTGCTCGGTTCGAAGAGAAGAAGGTCAACTGGAAGAAGAGGCTTACTGACGGTCGCATGAAGAACATCGCTTTCGTACTAGGTGGGTCGTTATCTATCCATCGCACGAAGCGACAACTGACAGAATACGCAGATCCCGATGGTTACTGGATCGAGGTAGTGCAAAACGAGAAGCTCAAGACACGTAGCAATTGGTAAACGGGCGGCGCCGACTACCCGCGTGATGTGCATATCCCACTCTACAGCAATTCAGCCTCCAATCGTTGAAGATCACACCATATGTGGTTACCCACGCTGCGCAACATATGCACAGTATAGTACCATGACGGATGCGAGCGCTGGCGGTACGACAACAATAACTGAATAATGAAACACGTTCTCCAATACATCGATTTTCTTTCAACGGTTTCTCTCATGAATATTATTAACATCGTCCCTACAAAGTTCCGAGGGCGTTGTTCGATACCTAGGTAACTCGCCAAATTGACCCTGCAGCAGCGGCGCTCACCCCGTGGGGTAGAAGGAGTGCGGGGTAAACCTAGCCAACAGGTAAGGCTACCACAAAGACATCCCTCTGACGCATGCTACTGCAGTAGACCGATAGCGGCGCAGTCTTACTCTGGATGTACAAAATGGAGTGTACTCCTCCTGTAGGCTTTGCGCTTACATTTCATACAGTCTCACGTAAACTTGAGATCAACACCATAACCGACACATACCCTTGATCAACTCACTGAAACTCTTTCATACCTAGCTACTTGAGTCTAATAAGTGCCGGCAAGAACAGCACAAACCGATACCCGGCAACATGGCTATCGTCCTGCACACAGCGAGACGGAAGATTTTGATACCAGAGAAGGTCTCGCCAGATGGACTGGCATTACTCAAAGACCAATTCGATGTAGATGAGAAGAAAGGCCTAAGTCTAGAAGAGCTCAAGGAAATCATCGGAGAATATGACGCCCTCATCGTACGGTCGGAAACGAAGGTGACGGCCGAGCTTCTGGGTGCCGCCAAGAACATGAAAGTCGTTGCGCGTGCCGGTGTTGGTGTTGACAATGTGGACGTTCAGAGTGCCACTTCACACGGTATCATTGTGGTGAACTCACCTTCTGGAAACATCAACGCTGCGGCGGAACACACCATTGCGCGTAGGTAGCCCAAGCAAGGATATTCTTACATTAACTAACATGTGACAGTGATGATGGCTGTGGCTCGCAATATTGGAGATGCGTCACAGAGCATCAAAGCTGGGAAATGGGAGCGAAGTCGACTGGTGGGTGTGGAGGCAAAAGGCAAGACTCTTGCCATTGTCGGCCTGGGCAAAGGTGAGTTTGATGCTTGAAGTTTATAAGAGCTGGCTAACACCTTCCTAGTCGGTCTCACAGTTGCTCGTATTGCCAATGGTCTGGGCATGCGTCTGATAGCCTACGACCCTTATGCAAACCCGAACTTGGCTGCAGCGGCGTCAGTAACCCTCCGCCCAAGCCTAGCTGAGATCCTGAAAGAGGCCGACTTCCTGACCCTACATACCCCCTTGATCGCCTCGACTAAAGGCATGATTGGAAAGGCGGAACTGGAGACAATGAAACCAACGGCTCGTATCCTCAACGTAGCACGCGGCGGCATGATCGACGAAGATGCTCTCGTCGAAGCTCTAGACGCTGGTGTCATCGCTGGGGCAGGTATCGACGTATTCACCTCCGAACCTCCTGAGCAAAACTCATCAGCATCCCGCCTAATCGCCCACCCAAAAGTAGTAGCAACGCCCCATCTCGGCGCCTCGACCAAAGAAGCCCAAGAAAACGTATCCATCGACGTCTGCGAACAAGTCGTCTCAATCCTCAGCGGCGAACTCCCCCGCTCCGCCGTCAACGCACCCATCGTCCTCCCCGACGAATACCGCACCCTCCAACCCTTCATCAGCCTCGTCGAGAAAATGGGCAGCCTCTACACCCAACACTACTCCTCCGCGAAAACCGGTTCTTTCCGTACGACCTTCGATCTCATCTACGAAGGCAAGCTCGCTACGATCAACACCACGAAACCGCTTTTCGCGGCGTTGGTCAAGGGACTTCTCACGCCCATTACCTCCAGCGACGGCCTAAACATTAATATTGTGAATGCTGAACTGTTGGCTAAAGACCGCGGCATCCTCATAAACGAACAGCGCTCCCGCGAAAACGTAGAAGACAAACCCTACTCCTCCTTCATCACCCTGCGCGCCCGCGCCTCACGCTCCGTATCCCAACAACCCCATTCCCATTCCCGCAACGCATCTCCCTCCGCCGCCCGCGCCCTCCAAAACACCACCACCAACTCATCCACCTCCTCCTCCTCCTCCGACCAAATCATCCAAGGCTTCGTCTCCGGCAACAAACCCTTCATCTCGCGCCTCGACAAGTTCAAAGGCGAATTCGTGCCCCGCGGGACCCTGCTCATCTGTCGCAACTTTGACAGTGTGGGTAAGATTGGGTATGTGGGGAATTTGCTGGGGAAGGCGGGGGTGAATATTGAGTTTATGAATGTTGCGCCGTTGGATGGGGAGGTGGAGGAGAGGATGCATGAGAGGAATGGGGGTGGGGGAAATGGAGGGGGTGGGAATGGGAATGGGGTGGAGGGAGGAAGGGAGGGGAGTAATGAGGCGTTGATGATTTTGGGGGTTGATAAGCCTGTTGGGGAGGATGTGCTCAAGGCGTTGATTGGGGAGGAGGGGGTGCTGGAGGCTAGTGTTGTGAATTTTTGAGGGGGTTGAGCAGGGGATGGGAGGGGATGTGGGTGGCTTCAACATGCTACTGCTTCCCTTATCTCTGGTCTCATCTCATCATTACATGCGCTCGATTCAATTCATATACACAACCACCACCTTCCATCCATCCCTTCCCCTCCCAAGTATTTCCTCCCCACCGTACGTCTTCACCACCACCCTTCCTTCCATCCATCCATCCTCACATCTCCCCCTTCTCCCCCTTCTCCTTCCCCTCCCGCTGCAACTCCTTCATATGCTTCTCATGATCACTAACCTGCTGTCTATCCGCCGCAATGTTGCTCTCGCCATGACTAGCAAGGTCCTCGCGCCATCTGCCCTCGCCCTTTTCCTGCTCCTGGAGCTGTTCCTGCTTTGCGGCTTCGACTTGTTCGGGGGTGCGCGCTGCGTCTTCTTTGATGCGCAGGGAGGGTGTAGTCATGAAGGTGCGGCGCGTGGTGAAAGGTAGCGTGGTGAGAGGTGTGCGCGAGGTGGGGATGGGGGTGGAAGCGCGCAGGGCGCGGGTTGCTGTGTAGAGGGCGCGGGGTGCCATTTTGACGGGTTTGAGGTTTGTGGTTTAAGAGAGGGGGATGTGTGAGGTTTGTGGTTTGTTGAAGGGGAGTTTTAGAGGTGTAGTAGGAGGATTGAAGAGGTGTGAAGTGTTTTGTTATGCAAAGACGGATGTTGCTGCCGCGTTCTTGTGGGCAGCGTCATTGGCTGTGACGTCATTGCATGGGTGCAAGACTGAGGTTGCTCCACGCAGATGCCGCATCCGGTGGAGCTGCAGCATGGGCACGTCACTGGTCGTCGTGGCTTCGTAATTGGCTTTTTTTTTCTCTTTCGATTGTGGGGTATATACAGTTGGATGCTTGAGATGCGACTCCCAATGCTATGATGTTGTGATGTGATGCTCCCTGTACGCCCTGGATTACCCTCGATAGCTACCTGATGTTTATGCACTTGGCATCTCCTTATCATAACTATAGTCTGTCCGCGTGATATCTGCATCTATCCTGTGCTGTTCTTAGGTGCGCTGCCTCCACCGCTGCTCTTCTTGTCCGGCGCGCCGCCATTGCCACCAACGTCTGGGCTGTTGGGTTCGCTGACCTTCTTGTTGCCCGGGCTGGCGTTCAAGCTGTTCTGTGGACCTCCAGCCTCCTTCTCAGCAGTTGCCTCTGCCTCCTCTGGGCTGGTCTGTTTAGGGTCGAAGGCAGCGTCGGAGTGTGCGGCGCCATCGTCGGAGCCAGACTTGGAGTACTCGGTCGACCGGGGCTTCAGCGAGTCTTTGTCTTGCGCATCTTTTTGAGCGAAGCGTGCTGGAGTTGTGCTGAGGAAGCGAGGGCGAACGATGGCTGCGCGAGAGAAGGTTGCGCGTTGTACGGCGCGTGCGGGTTGGATGCGGAACATGGTGAGGTTGCGATGTGCGACAGGTCTTGGTTTCCGAATGAGTAGATTGGATGTATTGAGTTTGAGGTTTGGGAAGTCGAGTAGTTGCGGGGGCACCAGCAATTGACTATCTTGAGATCGCGGTGACGAGTTGATGCTGTAGCTCGGAGCTTGTCCACGGACCCTCACATTGACGTCAGCTCCACCAAACTGCAGCCGAGGCCGCTACCCACGTGACATGCGACGCGTCCATCATCTCAACTCCTATCTGAGCTTTCATTCGCGTCACATCATCTCAAATACCGTTGAAAGGTTTTTGACTCGACGTATGACTTGTGTGTCCGAGCGATTCGACGCGTTCAAGCCCGTGTCGGGGGGTCGCGCTCATCTCCGACCTCCGCCATCTCCCTCGCCTGTAACTCGGCGTCCGCAGGGCTTGTTTGGTACAAGCTTTTCGTTCAACAGGCAACATCCCGCCAGACCCTACACATTGGATCGAACATGAGACAACTCCAAAGTGTCAAATGTACAGAACACCAGGAATCGAATGACATATTGTGGTCTTCTCGTCAGGCCGGTCATGATGCTGGGACGCACATCGAACCTGACTCTTGCATGCTTACCGAATTGTGCATCTAGCTGTCTTCAAGACTCATCGACTTCTCTTGCAGAGTCACAATCTTCCCATACGCCTTCCGAGTCTGGTGTAGCTTACAATCAGTCTAGACTCATCCCAGGGTACTCCGCAGGCTATGGCTGCACGCCTGATGAATGACCTAACACCTTAGGAGTTGTTGCATGAAGTAAAAAAGGACCTTTCTCTTCATTGCACGTTCGTGATCGACGACCCCATTGTCCATTCTCTTTGACCCGACCTGGCGCACGGAGCACCAAGTCTTTACGCCTTACATAAAGAAACGCTTGTAAAGATCGAAGGATTACAGCTGCGCCAACTGGTCTACTTCGACGTACTCAATCGATCCCAGATACAATCCCAAGTATGCCTGTCTCGACGTGGATACCGCCGCCGCCTCCAGACCCCGACACCCTGGTCAACCCAGCGCCTTTCGAGCCCTTCCCGCTCATCCAACTACGCGCCGGCAAGATCAAGAAGTCGCTTGGAAATGGCAAGATCGAGTCTGCCATCTACAAAGGACCGCTGACGGGTCCAATCGAGATCACCGAGCTTGGTATTCCGACAGATGAACATGCATTTCATCTGCACGGCGGCCCAGACAAAGCGCTCCTCCACTATTGCACATCACATTACGATGAGTGGAAGAAAGAGCTACCCGCCTCAGAACACCATTTCAAGCCCGGTGCGTTTGGCGAGAACCTATTCAACACCGAAGTCAGCGAGATGAACCTTTGTATTGGAGATCGACTGGCCATCGGTGACATCGTTGTCGAGGTTAGCGAGCCACGCGGACCTTGCTACAAGCTCAACCATCGCTTCGAGGTCAAAGACATGGCCAAGCGCACACAGACGCTGCTACGTACGGGGTGGATGTACCGTATCATCAAGACCGGCACCATCACTGCAGGCGACATGATCTCCCTACTCGAGCGACCGCATCCAGAGTGGACGATAGCCAGAGTCATGTACTACCTTTTCATCGAAACAAACAACGTGGAAATGATGAAGCAGATTGTGCAGCTTCCGCAGCTTGGATGGGACATCAAAGGAAAATTCCAGAAACGTCTGGATAGAGGTGTTGTTGAAGACCACAATAGCAGACTGTTTGGCGGCGAGGACGAGAAGATGGATACTTGGAATGAATACCGCCTTGTCGAGAAGCGAAGGGAGACGAGCAGTGTTACGGCCTTCATCTTCGAATCCTTTGAAGACACCCCAGAGCCGCCGCCCGTCGAGCCAGGTAGCCACGTGCGACTAAAGCTAGGAGGAAAGTTGGTACGCGCCTACTCCGTCGTTAGCGGTACCTCAAAACGTTTCGAGCTCGGTGTCGCCCTAGACCCAAGCAGTCGCGGCGGCTCCAAATACCTCCACTCACAGACCAAAGTCAGGGACATCCTCACCGTCGGCCGCATCACAGCAAGCTTCCCCCTCGCCAAAACCGCAGACCGACACATCATCATCGCAGGCGGCATCGGCATAACAGCCTTCATGACAGCCTTCACCTACCTCCAAGGAACGAACCAAGACTTCCATCTCCACTACGCCGTCGCAGAAGAAATACCCTTCGCTTCTCAAATCGCCGCACTAGGCCCCAAAGCAACAATCTACAACAAATCGCTCAGCCAACGCCTGGACCTCCCTGCTATCTTCTCAAAAGCCGATCTCCAAACCCACATCTACACCTGCGGCCCCCCACGCCTCATGGACGCCGTTGTCGCGACCGCAAAAACCTACGGTATACCCGAGTCCTCTGTGCACATCGAAGCGTTTACGGTAGCTACGTCTGGCGATCCGTTTACCGCGGAGCTTAAACAGAGCGGGAAGACGGTGGAAGTGCGGGCTACGGAGTCGCTGCTTGATGCGCTGAGGGCTGTGGGTATGGAGATTGATAGTTCGTGTGAGGTGGGTAATTGCGGGACATGTAGGGTGGATGTTTGTGGGGGGAGGGTGGAACATCGGGGGACGGGGTTGTTGGGGGAGGAGATGGAGGCGGGGGCTATGTTGAGTTGTGTTAGTAGGGGGGTTGGGAGGGTTGTGCTGGATTTGTAGGGGGTTAGTTTTTGTAATCATGAAGTGGAGGCATTGTTGTATTGCAGAATGGTGACTTGGTGATAGGTTATGAAGTTTAGAAAAAGTGCGTTTGAACAAAACAGTAATGGTTTCCTCAAGTGGCTTCCAACGGACGAAAATGCGATGACTCGAAGACCCAAACGCCATTCCAATGCAAATTCTAATCAATCATCCCACCGCATATTCAAAATCAAACATTCAACTTCCTTACTACTCAACTCCTTCTTCTTTCCTACAGCCTTCTCCGTCTTACTCCCCTCCCCCTCTCTCCCAGCAACTTCGAGTCACATATTCCCATTAAACCACCACGACGCCGCGACTGGCCAGCCGAAGATGACTGCGTAGAACGGGAAGTAGCTGAATGACTGTTAGCGACATGCTCCCAACGAGAAGGAGAGTTAGAGGAGAGATGAAAGAGACTTACACAGCACTCGTTTTTACTAGTTTCCTTGAGAGATCACCCGCTCGCCATGCGTGAGGCGTCATGGTTATAGGGTTGCGGGCGAAAGGGTGGGGCTCTACCATGTTGCGGGAGAGGGTGCGCCAGAGGAGGCGGGCTTGGGTTGGTGATGGCATGGGTGTGTGTTGGGGCTTGTGTGGTTGTGTGAAGGTAGAGGTTTGGTTGAGATGGACTTGTGATGGAAGTGATGTTATCGTAGTACTGTGTAGACAAAATTGGGGTTGATGTCTTTTGCTGAGTGTAAAGATGTATGAACTGGACTGTTGATACCAGTAGTTGTAGTTATTGTTGTCGTTGTTTGTGAATAGCCACCATACCCCAAAGACGACCATCCTATTTATCACACCTACAACCCAAACCTACATCCCCATCACCCTCACCAACCCGCGATCGTACCACCAAATCATGGCGTGAGCACTCCATCCTCCTCAGCCCTACGCCGCAACCCGAACGGCTGGCCTGACATGTCGGACAAGCCAGGCACACCAAAACCAACAGTCAGCAGCAAAACACGACCCGTATCGGGCAACAGGACTGAGCACCGTGGAAAGCAGTCGCTTGTTCCCGGACACTGTCATTGGTCTGGACTGGTGCAAAACTTTGGATGCAATGACGGTCGCGAGATGGTGGCGTGAGTTCGGTTGGGGCAGGGTCGGCGGGCGCCGACGGCATGAGTCAGGGGTGGTGCGGCGTGCTGGTGACATGATTGTGGTGTGATGCGAAAAAGCAATGTGTATGCATGATGCCGCCCTCACAGGGAGTAGACGAGGGTTTTGTCATGGTTGTTTGTCTTTGCCTTGCTATGCGATTGTCGGATTTCACATGGGAGTCGCGGTTTCAAGGATGGAGCTGCGAGAGACAGCTATCGGGATGACGCACCTCGGTCGGCTTATCAGGGTCGCGGACGAATTTCCGCGCCTACAGACGCGGCGAAACTTTTGACTGACAACACCACGCGCCCACATTCCATGCTAAGAAGCTCGTCCTACTACTAACCAGACCACGATCAGAGTAGCAAATATGGCGGCAGCAGTACTCGCAGGCAGCACAGGCCTCGTCGTAAGTCCCTCACACCCCAGATAACCCCATCACGCACTCCTAACACAACACGCAGGGCTTCAACATCCTCACCACGCTCCTCGCCCACCCCTCCTTCTCCGCCATCCACGCCTACACGCGCCGCGACCTCCCCAACCCAGCAGGCTCCACAAAACTGCAACCCATCACCTCGCCCGACTCCTCCACCTGGCCCGCCCAATTCCCCTCGTCCACACACCCCCGCGTCTTCTTCAGCGCCCTCGGCACAACGCGCGCCCAAGTCGGCGGCTTCGACGCACAGCGTAAGATCGACTACGACCTAAACCTGGATCTCGCCAAGACCGCCAAAGAAGCCGGCGTAGACACGTACGTCCTCATCTCGTCCAACGGCGCGAATCCCAATGGCTACTTTGCGTATCCGAAGATGAAGGGGGAGTTGGAGGAGGCGGTCAAGGGGCTGGGGTTCAAACACACGGTTATTGTGCGCCCGGGCTTGATTGTGGGGGAGAGGAGTGAGTCGAGGCCTGCGGAGGCGGCGTTGAGGAGTCTGGCGAAGGGGCTGAGGGGGCTGACGCCGAAGATGACGGATTGGTGGGCGCAGGATGCGGGGATGATTGCGAGGGCGGCGGTGGAGGCGGGGGTGAGGTGTGTGGAGGGGAAGAGGGAGGAGGGGGTTTGGATGCTGGAGATGAGGGATATTGTTGAGTTGGGGAGGGAGTAGGTGGTGGATGGGATGGGGAAGGGGCTGGTGGTGTATGATACCCTTTGTACAGTTGTTATTTAAGTGAAGTTATGTCGCGTCTTCAGTATTAGGTCTCCATTTCTTGACATTGATGCGATGCCTATAATTGCAGACTACAACGATAAGCGACCCTTTATCACGAGTTGCTTATAGTCAGTCTTTAGTGTATAAAGGCCATGTCAAACAGAAAGCATAGACTACGACGTTGCCTCTTCACACGCCCATTTACACATCCTTCACAACGAAGTAAACACAATACTCGAACATTCAACACTCATAACGACAGTCGGCATCTTTACCCGCTCCAATGCACGCTGGACCCTTACAGCACATGCTAGACTCACTGCGGAAATTCACGCGGTACCTCGCGCTTTCCCCACTCTGCTAGAGGTATCTTCCGAAACCTTATGCTGCCACCCAATCAGCATGAACGAATGAGACTGCGCCGCATGAAGTTCCCAGACTACCGTTACCCCTGTATCCCTCCCTCGTTTACCTCGCGCGAATTCCCTCTTTCACTTCCCGTGCAGAAACAGCCCGGCCTATATAGACGGAACGGAATGCCTCCCAAATCGCAGCGCAGTAGAGCTTGTGCTCAGTGTCGGTCTAGACGTGTTAAGGTATTTTATTCGGTATCTGCAATTGAAGGGTTGAAGACTGATCTATGGTGTAGTGCGATGAAACTCCAGTTGAATGCCAACAATGCAGGCGTCTCGGCCTGGCTTGCTCTGGAGCACTTCAGGGCTCCATTGTCATCGACATGACGGAGCGAGTAGCCAAGCCCAGAGGTCGGAAGAAGAAAGAGACGACGAGAGCTGCGCTGGCAGTCCGCGGAAAGGATCCAACGGAAAATAGCCAGCCATCAGCGATTCCACGTACAATCCTTGCCCAAGACGAAGCCGCAAGCACATCAACACCAACTGGCCAGCCTCCTTCTTCGTCATACCCAGCATTACCGTCCGAAAGCAGAGACAACGAAAAGATAGAGCAAGCCATCGTAGCAATCCGCTACCAGTACAGACCCCCCATGCTAAACCAGCCCTCAAGAATCCTGCCCGAAGCTCTAGATACTGCGTTTCTCTCCCACTACATTGAGCTCAACAAAGGCGGAAGTCAGTACGCACCAGAAATCCAATGGTTGGGTCATATAAACCAGATTCACAGCAACGCACGAAAGCCAGCGGTTCGGCTGTCTCTTCGCGCAGTATCCATGGCCTTTTTCGGGAAGCACCATCATGATCCGAGTATTTTGATTGATTCCTGGAGATGGTATACCGTGGCGTTGAGTGCGCAAAGGACGTCTATAGCGAGGTTGAAGAATGATGCGATTCCTGATGAAGAAGAGGTTTTGGTGCCGCTTATCATGTCGTTGTACGAATTATACGTCGGGGCGACTGCGACAGGTGCGATGTCTCACATCGCGGCTGCGGCTGAGATTATGAATATGCGCGGTCCGAGTAACTGCGGGTCAGGCGCCATTTGGCCGCTCTTCAAGGGTATCCGCAGCTCTGATGTAAGACCAAGGCCAACACTCTCGACATCCACTCTACTAACATCCCCAGGCGCACAAATCCGTAGTATTCAACCGCAAATCCGTCTATGCCTCCCCAGACTGGATGACCCTCCCCTTCATCGGCAAACCACGCGACGCACACCAAACCCTCGCAGATATCGAACTCATCGTCCCCCACTGTTTCGCCATGCTCGAGATACCCGGTTCTATGCGCGTCCTCTTCTCCACGCCAATACCCTCGCACGTCGACGTTCGACCTTGTAAAGAACTCGCGTGCAAATTGATCCGGCAACTGGATGACTGGGCTGCAGCATACCCGCACCTGACTAGCGTGTCCAGGAGCCCGCGTGGGACACCCGCTGTCGAGAGGGGTACGTCGACCCTACCCAAACCACGGCAAGGATCTCCCAAATCATCCGCAAGTTCACCTAATACCTTCGTAGCACTAATAGCATCAAACTACATGGCCGACCGCCTAGTCCTAAGCATGCTCATGTACAAGATGCACACGGAAGCAACAGCACCAATAGAACCATACGAGATGCCCACCAGTCATTACTTCGACGTCGCGACGAAAGCCACGACGGATATCATCGAGGCTGCGGCGGAGATTGAACAGGCCCAAACACCGGGGTTTGACCTCTTGCGCAGTATTGCCCCCGTTATGGCTGTGGCTTTTGCGGCGCCGACGATGGAGCTTAGGAAGGATGCCGTGGATACGATGACGCGGTGGGCGAGGAGGATAGGGGGGCTGGGGAGTATTATTGGGGCGATTTGATGGTAGGATGGGTGTGAGACGTCTGCATACGCCAGTTTAGTCTGGGTTTCTGCGACTTGCATTCCCAGTGCAAGGGCTATACACTCATGGTGGGTCACTCTGATGCGGTGTTCTTCTACCCGCCGCCTTTGGTTGTTCTCTTGGGCCAGCAGTCGATGCATGTCCGTCTTCAGCTGCTTCCTCCTCAGCAACGCAAGACTGAGTCTTTGTTCATGTATAATGGAGGACTCGATTTCATGGTCTCGCCTGTCGCGCGCAACGGAGAGTGCTCGCTGTCGACCGGCTGGACCAGATCAACGCCGATGTCTTCTAGAGGTGGGAAGCTGCTCGAACGCGAGGACCTTGCTGGCGATCTTCCTGGTCCTTGTACTGATTTGCTCCTTAGACTTCGAGGTCTGAGTGGCTGCCAGTCACTTCGAAGTGGCCGCGGTATGATTGTTGGCAGGGAGCCCCCAGTAGCATCCGGGTTGTTACCGATTCCAGGCGATCGCTCACATTCAAGCTCTTTCAAATCGGCCAATATCCAACCCTTTGCTGTTCGCACATCCGCAGTCATCACAGCAGCCTCGTTTGTACCCCTGGACCATGTGCATCGCTCCCTTACTGCGTCGCGCAGCGACGTCTTTACCCACTCGACACGACCTCTTGAGTAAATTGACAAATTAGATAGCGCAATCACGAGTGTGGGGGTAATAAAGGTACCAGTCTGCGGCCGTAAATGGACAGGAAATGCATAGCGAAGCTCCGCAATGGACCAATCTTCCAGGATCTTTGAGGCGATAGTCTGGGCTTGGGATCCATTCATCGCGGCGATAGGGAAGTGTGGGGAATCCGGAGCGGTGTTGCGCGAGGTCTATGGAGATGCGGTACTTCTGGCTTTCGTAGAGTATCTCCCCGCGTATGAGCCGTATGGAATGCGGCAGGTGTGGTTGGCTCGTCGTGGTGGAGGAAGTGTAAGGAAATTGGGATGGCGCTCCTTGCTATAGGCCCATAATGTCAGTACCATCCACTATTGCTGCAGAACCAAAGTATGGAGGATGTTGACCCAAAGTATCTCATGTTTGCCAGCCTTCACATGTAGGTGCACAATCCTATATGAGATGTCTACGCAATGCAAGCGAATTCCGTTTGCCATGTATTGCAAGACTTCAACTCGTCGCTACATTTCTCCAACCCCCATCTCAGCTCATAATGCCGCATCCCCATACCGGACGCCTAACCCTCCCAGGAGCAGGCACCACCACGCTTCGTAACATCAACAAAACCTGGAAGCTCTGCGACGCAAGTCACGCTATACCTTACGACCTCCATCCCCACGGCGAGCACCGTGCGAACAAATGGTCTCGACTCTTCCAAATCCGACTCGAGCGCCTTGTACTGCTCACGAATGCACGGATGAAGGATTATATCCTACAGCAGATGCGAGACGTTGTATACTTTAGACACCAAGGAAAGCAGAATCGGTTGCTGTGTGTGACCGTTTGCGACCTCGACAGACTTTACAGGAGGATTAGACGCGAGCAGATGAGGTTGAACAGCGCGGTGGAGAGAGCTGAAAGATTGTTTTATCGGCAACACATGGAACAGGTCAGGCGATTGGAGCTCGTGGTCCAAGATCTACGTCGAATGGACATGGCCCGGCAGCAACAATTTCAACTACCGGCTCGCACATTCATCGACGACAGCCCTTAGCATTGAATCCAAGTATCAAGCGCGACATGAAAGAACGACAGGTTATCGACAACACCCTACCATACCAAGCGTAGCCATGACCTCGCCTCCAGCCCCATCAACTTCCTTTGTCACCCCATTGTCGTCTTTGTCCACCATCTCACAACGCCATCTTCTTTCACCACCAACACACCCGCAAATACTACCTCCAACACCGCAAACCGTCTCCATACCCATCAAACACCATCGCTAGCGCATAGCCTCACCCTCATCTACATGCTCCTCAAAACAACCGATTTCCATCCTCTGGCCAAGATTGAAGAAAGGACTGCTGGAGAAATCGCACGCGCAATGTCAGGCAATCCACCCTACCCTGCGGGCTACCCGTTTCTCCCTCCCTCGAAAACAAACCAGAGTGCGACTGAGCGTTTGGCAGACGTTAGGAAGCTGTTAGCTCAGCAGAAAGAGGGAGGAAAGAGCGGGAGTGGCTCGAAAAAGATGACCTCGAGAGGTCTTCCTCCCACTCCGCCAAAACACGATCCAGGTGCTTGGGGAGGTCTGGAAGAGGCAAGGAAGCTCATTGCTCAGCAGATGGAAGGGCAGAGGAGGATGCATGGCAGCGAGACGCGGCCGCGGAAAATAAGATGTCCGTCGTCGACAGTGTCGTCGGTTTCTAGCGAGAGTTCACTGGGGTCCTTGCCGGGGAGCTCACGACCGCAGGGCCCGTATCCTCCGAGCTTACCGTCGCCGCTTCCGAGGCATCATCCTCGGAGTCATTATACGAGACGGCCTTCACTGGATGAATCATCACGCAGTCCATCTCCGACACACGCGTCACGACGACCTTTGCAATCAATGTTTGATAAAGGCGATTATGAGCGGAAGTCACACCAACCGCCGCACCGAAGAGACCGAAGTTGCACTCCCATGGACGAGGTTTTCGTTCAGGATATCACGTGGCCGCCATTTCCTGAATGGCCATCTGATGTGTCTAAAGATGAGGAGATGAAGTTTATTGAAGGTGAGATCGAGCTTTATAGAATTAGAGAGGCGTATGAAAGATCTGTGGGACGGAAACTTGTGGCGAGTTATAGGAAGAGGGTGCTTAAGTATGAGAGGGATGTTTTGACTTGTAAGCTTAGTGGTGCAGGGAAGAAGAGGAGGATGGGGCGGTAGAGGGGCAGAAGTATGCAGGGATAGTCCAATATACACGCAAGCTCTAAGATGGTCTAGTAGTAGCATACCACATGGATTGAGGCGCTTTCTCTCTTGCTGGCGAAGCATGGTTGTATTGAAAAATCCTTTGTTTGGGGGGCTCTATCAAATTGTGCTGTGTCTTTGTTCGAGCACAAAAACGCGACTTTCTTTCATATCGCACTATTTTGCAAAGGCTTTGGCAACGCTGAGACCGTATCAACCACAAAAGAGCCGTCGCAGGAGTACATAGCGATCGATCCAATTCCTACGCACGACTAATCCGTCTCAGCGCCGCCAACATGTCTGAGCTTCAAAGTGCATACGCGCCCAACAGTCTTTTCGCCCCAATGGACGATCTGCAGACATACATACTCAGTACCTGGGATCTGAGGCACCCGCACGACTTCTTCACACCACCACTCCCTTATCAGGAAGTGTACAGGTTCTCAGACCCGTGGCTCATATTCGCCTTATTCTCGCTTGCCAAAACAACCTCAATCGATACGGCACGTAAGGCATTGCGTGAAGTACTTACACGCGATGAGCATGAAGGTGAAGTCACGGCTAGGGATGTCCAGGAGGCGCGAGATTATGTCATCAAAAACATGAAGCCGGAGGATTTGCAAAGATACAACAATATCACTGTACCGGGACTGAGAAGAGATGAAGTGAGGTGGAATAGATACAAACATGAGTATGAGGAGGATTACCATGACTTGTTGCGAAGGCATGGCAGGCAGGGGAATGAGTGGGGTACGAGGTCTATATCAAGACGTGACAGTCGAGATGACAGGCTATGTAGCCGTCTAAGAAGTCCAGCGGGTAGATCACCAAATCGTTACCGGCCGCGAAGTAGGAGCCGACCTCGACCACGCGATCGTGAGAGACGTGCACCAAGCGTCAATAAGCGATCGAGCCCACCACCGCATCCTTCGCTGCAGCGAAGTCGTCCGGTCGAGCAGCCAGCCTATCGCGGCGCAACCACTGAACACTTCAGTGGATACGCCATTGAGACGCCCGATCTGGTTGCCGACCCACCCGGTGCCACTTTCGACGAGCAGCTTGAATTACGGGATGAGGCAGTGCAATTGCTTGGTGCGCAAGAGGGATACTACGAAGCTGTGAGGAGAAAAATGCTATCTCGATACATGGCGAGAGTGCAGATGTATGAGATAAAGGTGATCGAGACTAGGAAGCGTGTCGCTGGCGAAGAAAGAACTAGGTACAACAGAGACGATGAAGGAAGAGGTAGGGGAAAGAGAGGTCGGGAGAGGGAGACAAGGGATAGCCGGCGACGATTTTGATCGCTACAGCACATGTAATGTTTCCTTTCTCTCATTTCCAAGTGCGAAGGGTGAGCTTCGTTTGTTAGCGGGCAGATTCGATCAACGTTCCAGAAGCTCATGCATTGTCATTAGTAATGAAGCACCATGCTCATCAGTTTGCTTTCACTCCAAACATACCGAAATCGCGAACACTTAACTGCACTGGCTCGGAACTAGCCCTGGAGCGCTTAGGTACGCGCATACTTTCCATTCGTAGTCACCGACCGCGTTCAACCTCTTCAGACCTGCCCAGATTTCACAGTATGAACACCGATGCCGATAGCGAGGACACCGCACTTGCACATTCTCATCAACGCGCGCCGTATGCAGCTCCGACGATCATTGATGACGAGACTTGTCAACTACAAGGCGCTCGCCTGGACGTGTTCAGCGGTATCCCGAAGAACTTACACTCCATGCTAAACCTGCCTCTACGTCCGGCCCCGAAGCGCCCTGCCGACGCACTCATTGCTCGCGAAGACCGCAACACTAAGCGTGCTCGCGAAAGCCAAGACTCAGACCAAGCGAAACCGGCAGATACTAGAATGACTGGAAGTATGGTGGACCGTACGCTAAGCCCTGAGATGAGTATGCGTAACCGAGATATCTTCCGATCCGCACCGCGCTCTCAAAATCACCGTCGCCGTTCGACCGCATACGAGCCTCGTAAGTTCAACGCAGAGCCGGTTCCGCACACTACCTCCACGCGTAAGCGAAAGGCCGAAGACATCGGAGACCGCATCGACTTCCTGAACTTCGGATACGATGGAATAGAGCCCAAGACGCCGGAAGACAGACGAATGAAGTACCAGGCAGATGTTGAGATATCCAAGTTGCATGCAAAGCGCTTCAGGGTCCAAGAAGAGCGTTATGCCGACAGGGAGGAATATCATCTTGCCAGAGAGAACCAGCTCTTGGCAGAGGGTAGAGCAAGGGTTGCGCAGCTCTTGGCGGATGTCGAAGAATCTCGACTAAAGAAAAAGAACTGGGCCGATGCTGCAGTGACCGCGGAGAAGACAGGGTCGGGTGAGTGAGGAAATAGTAGTGGCAGGGTGAATGGACATGGTGATGCGAGAAGGAGATCTGTAAGCCGAAAGGAGCGGTCGATATAGCTGGTTGACGGCTCTCATGTCATGTGCGAGGCTTTATGGGTGGCTGTATGAACTATAGGAGAAACTTGGATGTCATGTCGAGACCGTGGGATTTTGGTACTGGGTAGTCTATTGTAGTTTAGTAGAACGACTTATCTTAGTAGCAACGACTGTTATTCAAAGATACCACTAACATTTCATGCGAGTCGGTCGCCTTCGTGTGCGATGTTCACATGAACCAGGAACCGAGAAAGACTGCAGTTGTCTTTGTCCATCAGCCTTTGAGTAGACAGCAGGCTTTGTTCGCTTAATTGCTTCTCTTTCAGCTCTCAAGATGAATATTGCTACCCCACTCAAGACGATGGCGACTAAGGGTAGGCGTTACCGAATACCCCTGCTCTTCTCGACCCACGCAACATCTCGCCGTTCTTATCTTTGCTCTGCTCCGTCATGACGTCTAAATGGGCTGACCGCTTACATGAAATCCCCTCTCATTGCGATCGAATATGCAGGAATTGGAAGCTCTCGTCGCCTAGCAGCTTCTTCGTGCCTCCAATCAAATCACCTAGCCCTGAGTCATACCATGATTGGGAGTTCGTCAAAACACTCGCAATTTTTTCTGAAGAGATGAAAGGAAAGCTGTTGCCTGTGGCGCGCGAGTGCTTACGTATTCACATGCAGGCAATGAAGAAGACGGGAGAGGAGCCTGATGCGAGGGATCTGTGGTTCGCAAAGTGTATGGCAGCCAGGAAATTGAAGGAGGCCAAGAACAGAACGAATGAAGATAGACAGAGGGACGAAGTGATCAGGAAAGAGGGTGAATTGATGGCAAAAAGGATCGAGGCAGCGAGGGCGAAAGGGTTTAGCGGCGAGGTACGGGTTGACACCAATGGAAAGCCACCCAAAACCCATAGCCAAGACGCTACCAAGCGTCAAAAGCTATCCAAGCTGCCCCCGCAACAAGATAGTCAACCCGCAGGTGCAATGAACGGAAGATATGATCGGAAAGACCAAGGGGATGGATCCCTGAGAAGCCACGGTGAGCATTTCCAACCAGATGAGGACGCGCTACACGAAGCACCTTCACTCCATGGACAGTTCGCAGGCATCGGTGGAGATGACGGTTTGCTGGAAGAACTCCCTGATGACCCCAAAGGTACCTCTTTCGACGACTTGCGAACTCTACACCTTGAGAAGGATCAACTATACCAAGCGCAAGAAGACTACTACCATGCTTTGAGACTGCAGATACTGGCAAGATACCGAAGAATGCACATGAGCTATTCGAGTGCTGTGCGCGTCGTAGAGAGCAGGATCGATAGTGATCGGAATGGCGAAGTAATCAATTCAAGAGGCAATGGAATTGCAAACAGGAAGAGAAAAGTAGACACCAGTGCTGCGGAAAAAAGGCGGCGCCGCGCCCCAGGCCGACATCGTCAACTAAACGAAGCAGTCGATGAGGCTTACGACGAACATCAGTCCGACATCGAAGACCGTATCAGCTTCTACAACTTCGGCTTTGCACCGGAAGACGAACATTTGACGAGGGAGGAAGAGATCCAGTTGCTGCCTTTCGACATCGACATAGCCGAGATCCACGCGAAACGATACCAACTACGAGATCGCTTCCCTGGTGGGTACAAAAACTCCGACATCTCGCTTATAGCGAGTGGTAGAGCCTTCTATGCGGCTCGCCGGCTGAAGCTGTTGAAGATGAGACAAGATGCTGCGGCCGAGAGTGCTCAAGTCGAGGCTGAGAGTCAGTAGATAGATCGATGTATGAAGCGCGAAGCCGTTCTAGAATAGTGCCATGATGGAAATGGCTGCGCTTTTGGTATCTCTGGACCGATTAGGTCTAGTCGGGGTTTCCTTCAATGAAAGGTCATTATCTTTTGTTCAAAGTCTCCTTTCACTTTGCACGCGCGCAAAGCTTTGTTCGTCGTACCCCGCATTGTTGACGCGCAACTATTGTCGCAATCTTGAGCCCGCTAAGGGAAGACACCGACGCATCTACTTCGTACATTCGTATAGACCTTTTCACGGCCTCTGCGATCATACTCTTGCGCTCGTGGAGGGTAGCGATATCGGTAGATATTGCCGACTCCCGCGTCGCCACCTCGTCTCAAATATCAGGTATGTTAATCTGCCCCACTATCGCTCAACGGAGTGGTTGCTCATATCTGCGTAGTACCGCTACCACCGCTGAACTCGTTGATCACTCCGACCGCGCCGTCGCGATAACCGTTCGATTTCCTTCAACTCGAGATGGCGTCACCGGACCATGAAGATCACCCGCTCATGCTGGAACAACTACGGGAGATCGCGCTGAACTGGCATATGGAAGACGAGACTCAGATCTTTCCGCAGCATCTATGGCCAATGAGGTGGGATGATGATTCCGCTTCGGCGCGATCGATCGTCCGCACTGTGTTGGAGATATCGCGCTACAGGGTCGATTGTGACAACATCTTCGAAGAGATCTCACACAATAGAGAAGTTCGGTTAGGAAGCGCAATAGACCCGCGACATTAGATAACACCAAAAGACGTACAACCAGTACTTGCGCAGATTCAGCAAGAGAAGTTCGTTAGAGCCAGGTACCAACAAGATAATGTGTTACTTAGCGCGTACAAGGAAGAGTTGCTAGAGCATATCAAGACAACCTAGGGTACTAAGCCTATCAATATCCTACCAGACAAGATCAGGCCTCCGGACGAAGAGGACCTACAGCGCTAGTTCCATCATTATATCTCAGCCTTAAGCGCGATAACCAAGGTCGCTATCAATGTCAAGGAGATACAACGGGAGATCGTGACCGCCATCAAGAATAGAAGAAGCAAACGTAGAGGTATTAGACGGCCCAAGAATAAGAACCAGGGCGATAGCATCAGAGTCGTCCGCCCAGGCGATTTGCACGACGCACATCACGCTCTAGTAGAAGCTCATAGACTGTACAACATTAGAAATGGCTTCTCCCCAGACGGAGACGTTCAAAATAAAAAGACTAGCAGAGATTCGAGCGGAGAAAAGACTCCAGATTACGTTCCAGATATGTTGCGAGCGATAAGATCAGGACGTCATCTCTTAAATAACGATGAAGAGCCAATCAATAGCATTCCGGCAGCATCTCATAAGTCGTCTAATATCAAGAACATTCACCAACGTACTCCTGTGCCTTCAGCTTCCTTTCTTAGGCCTAGCAACGCCATCAGCAAGATGCCAGCCGTAGGACTGCACGGCGCTAGCCTAGACAGAAGGATTAACGGGCTACCAAATCCACCTTTCCATTCCCTGCTAGAGAGGATAAGACCACGAGTCCCCATGCCACAAGATCAATTCAAACAACAACAAGTTAGTGGACGTACAAGAGTAAGCAGAAGCCCAGCGGTATCACCAAAGCGTGGACCTAGTACACCAGCCAATGCCCAGGCCAGCCAACATAACCCGTCTCGCCCGCCCTATCTAAGCACCGGCCAGATAAGTCCTCGTAGAGAGGCGCGTGATCGGCCGACACAGGAGCGCCCTCAACCTCCAAGGAGGTGAGAGGCTAATAGCTCCAATGCTGATATTGCGCCCCAACGCGTCGCCAGGCGGAAGCGGGGTGTCGAAGAGATTGAAGATCGCCTCAACTTCCTAGATTTCGGGTTTGACGAAGAATTCAAAACACCTGAGAAGAAGCTCATGAAACTTCAGGCGGAGCTTGAGATGACACAAATGACACAAAAGCGCTTGAAGACTAAAGATGCATGGAGCTTGGTTGGGGGTAGGAGGATTCACGTGCAGCTCATGCTGGACGTCGAAGAGCGCCGACGAAGAGCCAGGGAGGAGGCTGCTGCTGCCGCCGACGCGGATGTTTCTTAGGGTATAAAGCATGTTTCGAGATGTCCTGCTCGCCTTCAGCGAGTTCATGGAAGACGGATACGTGGTTTCTGTCGACGCGAAGTCGCTGGGCCTCGTTGAACAACGCTGCCACACCTGGCTCAGACTTCAGTCCTGCACCATCGCCTACCAAGTCGTCCGAAAGCACCTTCTGCTCTGCTGCCGACTTCGAGCAAGATCGCCGCAGCTCCATTCGACGTACAAGGTTGCGGGAAAGCGAATTACTCAGAGAACTATCTTTCTCGGGATGCATAGGGTATAGTGACATATTGTAAGCAGTGAAATGTTTGTCTTTGTAAGGATTGCGCGAGCAATCCGGTAAATCTACGTCTGTCTCCAATCCGATAGCCAAAAGCTTCATATTATACCCAATGCATGGTCAAGAGCAAAGCTTTCTCTTGAAGAAATCAGCCTGTCGCTTGACGCATTCCTCGAAGTTGGGTTGCGTGGCGTATGCTTCGTAATGACCACCGCGGAACAAATGCAGCTCCTTTGGCTCGAGTGCACGACTGTATGCTTCCAATGTAGTCGCAGTGGGCGTCACAACATCGTTGTCTGCAACAGTCATGAGCAATGGTGTCGGAGAAATGTGGTGAATCCAGGCCGCTCCAGGATGCGCTCTAAGATTCTCCATGCTGACCACGAGTTAGTTGGATGAATTTTCGCTGGCATTGCCAGGTTGATTTTTGCGTAACGAACCTCCTCAAGGTTACTTGGTTTTTGAAGTGAGGAACGACGCCCTCAAGCCCTCCCATGGACGCGTTACTATCTTTTGTAGTCATGGCCGATCGGTTTAATCGATTTGGATCGACAACAGGAATCATCATAGGTGGTTTGCCAGCAGCACGATCAATTCGATCTAGAATAATCAAATTAGTCAAAACTCAATAGCTGTGTTAGACGATTGGGTCGACACAGACCTTTCTGGAAATCTGCTTCCCAATCTGCGATGTCATCTGACCGCAACAAATTGGCAAAAGCAGAGTATCCCTCCACCAACGGCGCCTGCGAAACGACGGCCTTCACTCTTCGGTCCACCGCAGCAACCCAAAGCACATTACCACCGCTGAACGACGAGCCCCAAATCCCGATCTTGGTAGGGTCCACCTCAGGTCGGGTCTGAGCGTATGTAATGGCGTCGGAAATATCACTGATTTGTATCGGTGCGTCAACTTCCAGTCTAGGTCTACCTACTCCAGCATCGCTCTCTCCAAATCCACGATTGTCGAAAACCAAAGCGGTGATTGGAAGGTTCGCCACGAGATATTCAGCGACCGCTGTCAGGCCCTGATCTTTCGTGGCCGAGAAGCCATGTGAAATGACTACGCATGGCAACTTTTGCCCGGAGTAGTTTTTAGGGGTATAGAACAAGCCACGCAGGGTGGTTTGGTCCAGCGTTTGGAAAGAAGCTGGTTGGGTGGACATGATCGCAAGAATGTGCTTCGGATTCAGAGAAGAAACGTTTGTGGAAGAGGGTAATGAGTTTGAGGTGGTTGAGGTGGTTGAAGAGGCGAATCGAGCCATTAGGATGCTTTATATCATAGACTACCCTCAAGCTATCGTGGTTACTCATACGTGTAGGCTACTTTGTAATCCATACTTTAGTGTAACATCAGGTGAATCCTATCACAATGCTTTACAGATTCCGCCCTTACGGCCCTCCGGATGTCTGCGTCAAAGCTTACGTAACTAACTTCGGAGCACGTGCGGGCAATCTCATACGGCCGTAACTTTACAAAGGCCGTAACTTCACAAAATTCGGCACATAACTGCTCCGGTCTATTCACGATCGGCAAAATCGACTCCTGTTTGGTTCAGTCCGATGATCTCACAAACCGTGAAACGCTTTTAGTTCAACAGCCTTTCTTGATCTCTAGTCTGGCTGCGGGGTCCCCCTTCTAGTGGGATCTTCCCTTTGCCCGAATTTCTTCTGGATCACAGCCTTAGATTGAACTTGCAGATGCGGGGATAAGATTCAAGACTGCTTGTCACTTGATACGGGGGGATGGAGATTGTTTATATTGTGGCGTCCATCGCATCAGCTATTGATTTCCAAGCATCCATCTCGACTTACTGAACTCGCAACCTCTGTTCTTACCATTTTACCATAACAACCTACTACACACTCTACAATGCCCCTCTGGCTCGTCTTCTACCCCGAAGGCCATTTCCAGGATACGGCCGCGAGGAAGGCTCTCACTCAAGACATCACCAAGATCTATACGGACATAGGCCTTCCTCCTTTTTACGTTGTCGTCAACTTCATCCAAATGGGTCCGCAGGATATGTGGATAGGCGGGGCGCAGAAAACGGACAAGCCGTTCGTTCGATTCGTCATCGAGCACATTGCCGTCAACCTGCCAGACGACGACATCGCGATGGACAGAACAGCCAGGCGAATTGACCAGGCTTTGAAGCCTCACGTTTCTGACAAGGGATACGATTGGGAGTTCCACGTGGATGAAACGGACCGGCGTTTGTGGAAGGTCAATGGATTGGTTCCGCCGAAGTTTGGAAGTGAGCAGGAGAAAGTTTGGGTCAAGGAAAATCGTGCTGTACCATATCCTGAAGGATTGTAGGATGATAGTGGCGTGTGGAAATCAATTTGGCTTGACCTCCTGATCTGCCAATCTCACAGGAACTAAAAACAAAGCATACTTTGCGAACTCTGTCTACTGCTTGAATTTGGTACATTCTGCATTCGTGCAGTTAAACTACTCTCTCGCTTGGCTTTTTTGATGAGCCTCTGTTAATCGACTTATTGCGACTCAAAAATGTCAGAAACACGACCTGTGAGTACACGGTTGCAGAGCAGGGAAAGTACATGCGGCAAGATGTATTCTCAATAGCGGGTGTTGGTCGTTGCATCCACATCATAGTTCACAACAAGCCTTTGCGGAGTTAGAGATCTCCACATGGACTAAATTAGTTCACACAATGATTTGCTAACGGCAAGTCGACAGGACAATTAACTTTAAACTTTTATTACTAATCACCAAATGTGTGGGGCGATAGCCAAGCCGGAAGTCTACCTAGTATTACGATTAGACTTCCACGCATTTACGGGCGTAAGCTAGGGTATGCAAATATCTATGGGTCTCTCCGCATCCCCCCGATGCGCATATATACGGACGTAAACTAGTTTTGAGATTCTCCGCACCCCACACCTGCATTGATCATCCTACGTAACCAACCAAGAGTTCACATCGTCGCCGGTACCGATTGTCCTCTTATCCGCACAAGCGCTCCTCTATAAAGATCTCACTGAACTGGAGATATTCTATATCTTCATCACAATATTTCCCAGATTACTGCGCACAAATCACAAGATGGGCAACACCAAGCTTCAAGTCGATATCTATATTGCCCCCGTTATCCCAGCTACAACCGGCTTTCCTGATTACGAAAGGGCAGCTTGGTCACCCATCAGCTGTGTACTTGTCCACGGACCCGAGTCAGCCGCCCTCATCGATACTCCCATCACCGTCAAGCAAGGCGAGGAGATCGCCAACTGGATTCGCGAGACAGCTCCGAACAAGAAGCTCAAGTATGTTTATACCACCCACGCACATCCCGATCACTTCGCGGCTGTGCCAGTACTGCAAGAACACTTCCCGGGCCTTGAATTCGTCGCCACGCAAAACGTTGTAGCCGGAATCCAAGAATTGTACAACACAACCTTCGACCATGTTTGGCCAAATCTTTTCCCGAATCAGATACATCAAACCAGGCCGATACCGAAGGCCCTCCCTGACTCAGGCGAATTCTTCATCGACGGCGAGAAGCTGCATGGCGTCGAAGTCGGACACACGGACAATGAGTTCTCCAGCTTTCTCCACGTCCCTGCAGTCGACCTTGTCGTTACGGGCGACATTGTGTACGGCGACTGTCATCAGCATTTTGGCGAGGCCAACACGCCAGAGAAACGTAAGGAGTGGCTGGATGCCATCGATCTCATTGAGGCAAAGAATCCGCATATTGTTGTTGCAGGACATAAGAGAGCTTCACAGGCAGACGCGCCATATTTGATCCAGTCGACGAGGGAGTACATTTACACATTTGAAAAAGAGTTGGCCAGGACAACGAGTGCTGAGGCATTGTATGACAGGATGAAGGAGTTGTATCCTCAGAGATGGAACCTTTTTATTTTGCATTTCGCGTGCCAACAGTCGTTTGCGGCGCGAGAGAGCAAACTTTGAGGAACAGTAGAGTAGAAACCGTTAAGCAGTTGAGTAAGAGTCTTTGATAGTTGGTACAGAACGTGGAAGATGCTTTACGGCTCGTAATCAAGATGCGTCATCACTCCTACGTTTTTTTGTCATTTTTGGGACTAGGCCGGAATCCGGTTAGCGCATTCCCTTATCGATACTGAACGCTGGCCTCACAGCATTGAACAGGGCGCGTCTTTGAACCCCGCTATACTCACGAACTCAGTACATCAACACCCATCAGCAATAGGATCCGGCTTCTTCCTGCAAAACTTTCCTCATCTTCAATCTACCCAGGTATCATACGAAGTCGCTACACTGGCCCGACGTACCGGCCTTCTGAAAGGTCTTTCCTTCGCATCCAACCCGTGCATGACAGAATGAAAGACATCACAGCGCTTGTCTCATAGCATCTATGGGAAGCGGCTGCTTCCAGGCATGTTCAGAGCTTTATTAGAAGCTCTGAAGCTGGAAGTTCAAAGGCCTAGTCCGAGTAGAACGCAAGACATGTCTATCTGAGTGATAGCCTGTCATGGTGCTCACAAAGCTAACTAACTGTTCGCGTGCTTTGGGTCGTAGACGGCTTTACCAACGTCACCGGGCTTCGCTATCGTCTATTACACCCCGAATCTATGCTCTATAAGGTCGCCAAGTGCAAGAGCGGAGCCTCAAGCGGAGCACCAAGCGAGAGCTAGGTTTATCCACCAATGGACCTTGACCATCACGGCTGCGCAACAAAACCACCTATACCAGCGCATCGACTCCTAGATTGACCACAATCATCTTCTTGTATCATCAAGCCCGTCTTCCGGCAGTTTCAAGTACCAAGATGGCCGCCAATGCTCTCGTCGAATCGCTGAAAAGCGCCAACCTACTTCCCTCCGCCATCATCCGCGAGTCTTTCACCCCAGCTCTGGACCTCAGCGTCAAGTTCTCCTCCGGACTTACTCCAGAACATGGAAGTCTCACTCGTGTGAGCCAGGTCAAAGAGCAACCCATCATCTCCATCTCGTCTCCGCCAACATCTTCAGCCGCGAGCTTCACATTCATGATGATCGACCCCGATGCGCCTACACCGGACGACCCAAAGTTTGGTTACTGGCGCCACTGGGTTGTGACTTCTATTCCTTCTCCGTCAGCGACTACCTCACCAGACGACATCACCGCGAGAGGAAAGACAATCACACAATACCTGGCACCTGGGCCGAAGGATGAGAGCGGACCACATCGGTATCTTTTCCTTCTCTTTGAGGAGAAGGCAGGAGAGACTGTGGAGAAGGCGGATGTTGGAGGAGAGGAGTTCGTTGAGAGGAGAAGTTTTAGAGCAGAGCAGTTGGCGGAGAAGAAGGGATTGAAGTTGGTTGGAGTCCAATGGATGCGAGGAGTGGGCGATGGGTGGAAGGGCGAAAAGGATGAGTTGTAGAGAGATCTATTGAGAACTAGGAATCTACGACGCATCGAGTGTCTTGTCAGGTTCCGGAAAGATAACAGTCCAGCCTCTTCTGCTCACCAGCAAGACTGCGGAAGAGAGCGGCGTGCCTTTCAAGTATGGCATATGTACTAGTCCCCAGTGACACGTACTGAGCCTTGCAGATGATATCAATAAAGCTCTTTTTGTATGACGTACCGGATTCTGGTCGATGTGGTGATGGAAATACTGATGTGGATGATGGGTGACAGGCTACACTTCCACTGTTGCTGACTCAGCATCGTCGCGCGCTAGCGCTCGGCGCGTCTCCAACGCTCCAACCCTCGCCTGATCTTCCATGAGCAACAAGGCGCACCGTCACGAGTTCTGCTTGACAACACAACATACGCGAAGATCACAACTACGCTCATTCTCGTGGCAAAATGACAATCCAGTATACCATTATAATGTCACCGCCCCGTTTCGAACGGCACGTGTAAGTCACTCCGTCCGAACTGACCGCAAACCAGCACCACCTTCATGGTCGCCGCGACCCCTTCCTCAATATCTCCATCGCTGTTCGTCTTTCGCGTCCCAGAGGTCGACCTTCACGCAACCGCTCTTTCGCTGCGGCGGCCGCATGCTTCCTGATATCTCGCTGGCGTTCTTTTGCATGCAACGTATTTGAGCGTCCTCGAATACTGTCTCTATCGGGCCTGTCTTTATGCAGCCTGGCTCCTCGATCGCTCGACCGATGATCGCTACGCATCTCGACGGCCTCCGTCCTTCCACGGCTATGCCGCCTCGATGCTTCAGCAGCCCTACGTGAATACGATGCGGTTCGAGGAGCTCGATTTCGATGTGAGCTTTGCTCGCTGTGTTCGTGACTATGACTGCTAGTCTGGTCTATCACGTCGACCTCGCTGGCAGAGGAACTATACTGGCGGTATCCATGATGGTCACGATCATGTACGTTGGTCTGGGGCGCCTCTCGACGCAAGTGCAAGCTGCTCTGTGCCTTCCCCTTCGTGCCAGACTTCTGTCTCATCGCGGCACGTCGAAAGCCCTCAAGTGGCGATAGGCCTACCTCTGAGGGTCTGAGCTCGCTCCGCCAGACCGGCAGTCTAGCTTGCCTCGCTTCCTCAGAGTTACGGGGAGACTGTTGACCACGCTTGGTATAGGGCGCTGCCCTGTACTCATCCATCTCTCGAGAACCGCTGTCCTGGGGCCTTACTGGATATTTATAGATGCTATCCCTCATGTTGTTCGGGCTGGTCACAGAGTGGCCTACGTCACTCCCAAGACCCTCTACTGAAGCGATCTGACGCCAGCCTTGACAAGCTTTCATCAGCTTCAGCCTTGCTGATTCTCCGGATCTCCAAACCCCACACTCGGTAACATTAAAGTAACTGGACCGTATGGATAGGCTGCTCTCAAGTTCCGGGACCAATTCGACAGCACGTAGTTGCGCGGACTTCAGGTCGTCCCGTTTTTGTTCCCACGCCCTGCCCAGCTCTTGCGCTTTCGTAATCCAAATGTCCTGGCGGAAGTCATCGCGAGCTTTAGCTTCATTTTCGTCGTCTGCTGCTACGGATGCAGACCCTCTTGGTCCAGCATTGTCTCCGCTCTTTGATCTAGCTTTTGCCAACTCATCATCGAAGTTATCCCGATACTTTCTGTATAGAAGTTCCGCTATCTTGGCAGCCTGCTGCTTTCCAGACATGTCCGCTACAACTCTTGCCCGCTTTTGCGGTCGGTCTGCTGTATCACTTTGACGATCAACACCGGCAGCATTGACCTGGGATCTACCATCTTCATGACGTCTTCTTGTTGCTCGCGTGATGATAGCGTCCCCTTTCCGCGGCTCAGGGTATGGCTTGAGGAACCCCGATTCTATTAACACCGGATCTAGCATGCGGTCAACGACGAGCCAAGCGTCGCGCCACGCATTTCGCTTTTCCTTGAGTTCGTCTTCTAGCATCGATTTATTATCAAGGATGATTTTCTGGTTATTTCGGCTTCGCATCAACTGTTGCCATAGATCATCCAACTCTTCCGCTTGTCTGTCGCTAGGAGTCCCAGCTTGTTCCAATTCTTTCTTTTTAAGCTGCAACCGAAAGTCAGTGGACTCAGCTATGCCAGCAGCATCTGGACCCTGCGTCTCGAATCGCTGTCGATGAACCTGAGCTTCGCTTTCGAACTTTCGGAAGCTTCTCCCAAGACAAAGCGCTCGCTGTATGCTAGCTGCAAGCTGTCTGGAAAAGACTAAGGCCTTAGCCTGATCTTGATCTTGATCTTGTTGAAGAGCTATGTCAACAACCTTGGGTTCATTGCAGAAGGTCGATTGGTTAATCGCCGTCGTCGCCCATTGCTTGCAGGCCTTCTCAGACGACGTCTCTGGATGTGGCAGTTCATGCGACATCTTGACATGTATCGGTATAATGGTGTATGGTAAGTGAACACGATTATTGGGGAACTTTGACCGACAGACAGTTATCGTGGAGATGCAAGTGCAAGGCCTTGTCGTCTATCTTTGGCTGTGGAAGTCAACAAAGGCATAAAGGCACTCAATCAGAAGACAAAGAGCCACGTTGAGCCCCGAAAACTTGACTGTCAACCATAGATTCAACGTTAATCTTGTTATGCTCGCATGTTGTCAGTACGTGCACGTCTCCTAGTTGTACGGAGGTACTCGAGTCTCTTCGTTAACGTTCCATGTTCATGACTCAACTCTGTTCTGACATCGCAAGCAGTTCGCCCTTCGGTAGCCCCATGGGAGCTGCTAGATATGAGAACAAAAATACCAGGGTAGCTGCACCTGCAGCGTACATTGAGGCAATGCGCTCTGCTTCAGTGCGCGCGTGCACAGATTGACCACATTTGCGGAACAGAGATTGGGTTTCATTACAGGCCCGGCGCTCGACTTGCGTGAATATCAGCGATAGCGTATGCACTCTTCAGGCTACAGCTCATTCATTATCTCTCCATCGCATCCGCCTGACGGGCCCTCGTAAACAAGCTAGTCTCGCCCCTAGCGCTATATCAACCCCAACCCCTTCTCCATGCGAAATCAGTCCTTCCCTATCTCTGCGCGCGACAGTCAAGTGACACATTACAATGGCGGGTCATGGGCTGCAAGGTAAGCTCTACGAGTCCGTTTCACGTATCTGCGATATTAACTTAGACTAGGACGCGAGGTCGGCGAGTACGACTACAAAGACATTGACCGTGACTACGAAGATGTCAGTCGCTGACTTTCGTAATGAAGTCGGATTACTAACGATCGATAGTCCGGCCTTCCTCCATTTGTTCCCGCCTTTAGCACCCCTACTGCTCAGATCGAGAAGCGCAAGTTCTCGAGCAAGTCAGATGTCGCCTCGAGGCATAGCAATATTAGCGAACCGGAGCGCTCCAACGAACAGCCGAGTACGACCCCTGAAGAAGGCCATAGATCGAAGCGACCCAGGATCGAAAAGGATGGTTCTACCGCTAAGACATCAGGGCGTCCGCGAAAGCGTACGCCAGACTCCGCATGGCAGGGTAATCGCATCACCTCCCATCTGGATCGATTTGGTGACATCAGCACCGAAGAAACTTCTGAGATACTGAGGCAAAGGATAAGGACCAAGCAAACTGAACTTGGCTCTCGTATCTACGGTCTTGAAGACTCCATGAACGAGTCTTTTCGCAACCGCGTGTTCATGGTTTTGAGTGAGGAGGCGGTGAGTATTCCACGTCGCCCCGAGATTCCTCTTGGATTCCGAGTCAAGGTCGGTATGGCGTTTTGGGAACGAGCAGTGGGGTTCTCACATGACGAAGATACTCCTATCGGAGACCACGCCGCTGGCTCTGCACTGGGAAAGACCACCACAAAGCGGCGCTTGCATATCGTTCGTGCTATTCTAGGCGACGACAGGTTTCTGACTACGTGTGTGGAGACTCATGGTGAGCGAGGGCTCCACGCTCCGTACATATCGCCGGATACATACTGGCAATGGCTACGTATAGCTGATGCTCGCGAACGAAACCCCACCAACCATGGCCCTCACGGTGTTCTCAAGCTGGACACAAGCCAGGCGACGAAGCCAGCTCGCATCTCGGATATGTCATACGTGTTTGCCGGAGTTTCCACTCAATGCACGCTGACAGAGCACTGGGATTTCGCTGGATACCTTGATGAAGACAGTGTGACTCTGTTGGAAGCGCTTTCAAAGCGAGTCACAACATCGCAACGAGATGACAAGATGGATCACGATGTCTACCACTCTATGGACTGGCGAGCTATAGACGATGGTCGAAAGGCCAAGGGCCTCGCCGCATACCCCCGGCCTGAACGGCGGTCATCCCCTCGTCGCACCAAGACTCCCCAACCTCTCCTGGATGATGACGAGTCCGACAACGATCGTAGGCGTTTCGATCATCGCCGCCGCTCTCATGATCGACGAGGTCGAGACCACCGGGCTTCATCTCGAAAGGATCGTGGTTACTCAAACACCGCATCTTACGAGAAAGATCGGCCACAGCGCCCTCGTGATTCAGACACCAGGAGCTCTCGACCGCGGTCAGGCAAGGGAAGGAGGGCCGATCAATATGACGACATTGACCGAAGCAAGGCTGATGGCCCTCGCGGAGACCACGCCACAGAAGGTACTCAGTCCTGGAATGGTGCTGTTCAAGGTATCAGGGCCGGTAGTGTGTATGTTGGCCCCAACTATTACAGCTGAGAGTCTACAGGCCGGACCGACCGCCTGAACGACGACGAAGGTCCTCCTGGATCGCGTGACCTTGGTGGTTATTACGATCGCTCCTAATGCTGCGATTCAGTACTTCCTAGAGGGTTCTGGCGAGGAGAAAAAGCGCGACGGTATACGGAGAAGAGTAGACAGAAGGATGGTGGAGAAGCAGGACGAGAGGAGGTGTTTTTAGCACCCCGTCTCTGTGCCCTTGTGGTTCATACCCTGCATTAAGGCGGACTCAGCTGATATGAGCTTTCCAAAAATGTGGGAGCCAAGTTGATCGGATTCATGTAAAGTATCATTGTTGCCAATGGAAGATGACATCTAACGTTCTCGTGAGTGAATGTTAAGTTGCTTGCTTGGATGTGGAGATCGGGCAGAGAAGAGCCAGTGGTGACGTCAGTGCACGGGCCATGACGCGAAAGTCACGCGTAAGCGAGAGTCCAGCGTCCTTTCACCACTCGCGCTGTTACTGCACCCATGCACCCTACGTTCACAACAGCAGCCCTACTTCACTGGTTTCTCGTGTCTTTGATCGGATGCGATGACTTCGTTCTGCACATCATGATCCCCTAAACGCGATGAAGAAACGCAAGTTTGCGCGCCCGGCATGGAGGCTCGCTTGCATCGAAAGTCTCCTAGAGATTGGTGTCGTGCTGAGGCACCTGGGCATAGACTTTTACTAAGACGTAAGTTCTTCGTTCATTTCATTTCATGTTACTTTGACTGCTATCTGCTTTCAGTAGAGCTCTGAATGGAGGTATCAATTTACTTGTGCTGATCTCTCCCAGGAGCTCTCGCTATCTCCTACCAGCATGATGGTCAAATCCTAGTCCGATACTTCATTCAAGTCGCACACCGTTTCATAATAGACTTGGACCATCCTGTCACCAACGTCGCTCCTCGTAGAACTCCACCGCTCGGCCACGACCTTCGTACCGCATCACACGTGATAGTAGAATACCTTGGAAGTGCATTCGGTGGAATACATGGCGATGAGCTTCTGCTGCGCTTGACAGTTTGCGTAGTACATGATGCATTTGCTACACACCATATGCTAATGACTCTCGTGTTTGGGGGCTGTCCTTTCGCCTCCGCGTGCCCACAACTCCGCTGGCGCTGATTGCTATCGTCTATAGAGCGAAGCCCATCTCTGTCACTCAGGTCATGACTTGAGCGCAGTTTCGGGCTGCGTTCGTCTCTCGGGTGGCGAGTGACAAGGGATTGGATGGGCTATCTACGGTGATCGCGTGAGAGACGCCTGCGTTCACCGGGGATAGCGTCGGATCACGCCGTCGCGATCGCGATACTCTCCCCTCTCTAGTCCAACACGAGAATTTCTTCGACCACGTTCTCGTCTCTCTCGATTCTGATCCAAGGAGGGTGATCCACTCCGACTTCGACTCTGACTTCTCAGCCTCGGAGAATCCCTCCTTCTTTGCCCGGTCTCCCCTCGTCGATCTACAGCTTCTCGCGAGCGTAGGCGTGGACTGCTTCTTCTTCCACGTTCAGACTCTGGCCTAGCAAGTCGTTCCTCTCTTCTCCTCTCCACAGTGGGACCGCTTCTTCGACGATTTTCTTCGACTTGATCGGAGCTATTATCTCGTTCGTCTGAGCGGTCGCTGTCGTACACCATCCACGTCCGGTCCGCGTGTCTATCTCTACGACGTGTCGCAGCTTCCGTCGATTCTCTGCGTCTGGACCGGAGTCGATCTCTTCGTTCCCCGCAGCTTCTGCCATTCGTCCCATCGCCGTGGGTCTGGCCCTGTTCATCATTGGTTCGATTGCCAAAAGTGGCCGCCGGTCTTCCAGTTCGATTCTCGCCGGTGTTTTCATATTGCTTCAATATGCCAGCTTCCATCCATACGGTATCTAGCAGCTTATCCACTTCAAACCACGCATCCCTCCATCTCTCTATCTCTTTCTTGTCACCTTCGTCGAGGATGACGAGATTCCTCTCAATTACGTCCTTGTTGTTGCGCATGCGATGAAAGTCTTTGGCCAAAATTCTAAGCTCTTCCCTCTGCTGGTCGCTTGGCACAAGAGCTTGCTCAAGCTCCCTCTTTTTGAGCTGCAGCTCAAACTCAAGTATTTCGGCCAGACCTGCGTTGTCAAGTCTTTCAGTCTTGAGCTCCTTCAGCTTGGCTTTAGTAAATTGAGCAGACAACCTGTGCTGCCGGCCCAGGCAAAGTGCTTGTTGAATCTTCATTGCCAAATCACGACACAGTGTCAAAGCAAGGGTGTTGTCATCACCTTCTTTGATTTCTGTCAGCTTTGGACTTTTTCTCGTGTAGTTACGGGCCACGGTTGGTGCCGCCCAACGGACGACGCTAGCCTCTTCTTTCGTGAGCGGATGTCCTGCATGGTAAGGCATCTTCGCTGGTTCTGTCTGGCCGTAAAGATGATGATGAGATTTCTTTCTCCCGTTGATCATGATGAAGTTCTTCGACGAAAAAAACAAAACGGACAGCCTTTTATATACGGCAATAGAAGTTCAAAGAAGCGAACAAAGGACTACGAACAAGACAAAGCATGCTTTCATGGGAGCTATTTCAGCCTCGATCTTGCTTACATGCGACATTCGATGAGGGTGCCTCGAGGCACTCCCGCTGAAAGACGCAAGCAAAAGTCAGATGCAGCGTTAGCGACCATTTGTATCATAAATATGCTCCTGATCTGGGGGGCACTTACCTCGGACGAGTCATATCCACTTATTATGAATGGTTGTCGGAACAGCGCAGTAAGGCTGTTACAACTTTCACTGCAGCCTCGAACACTGTCGACTCTGGTCACGTGCGCTGAACGCTCGATTTCATTACAGGGCACAGGTGCTCTTGCGCCACACCCTGTTCACGGTGGTCCACTCTACTGCAGAAGAAGTTCCATACGGGTCTTTTTGTTGACTTTGCGCTCTGCCTGACTACTCAGCCAACACCGGCCAAGCACCACCTCTCAACCAACTTCTTTACAAGACACAAATACATAGAAGACAGAGTCTCCAGCTTGGCACAGAACGAAGACGGTGACACTGCACATCTGTCTCGTTGCTTCCTTCCAGATACCATGCAGTCTCCTGGGCACGGGTCTTCGGTACGTACAACATGTTCATTCCACATTCGATTGTATCAATCTCTTCTCTCCACAAACATTTCACAGCATATTCGCATTGAGAGCGACTAACATGATACAGGCTGATACTCCAGGTGATCATGCCGAGATCACGTCTGATGAGTTCACCATTCAAGAGGTTTTGGATAGCGAAGCCGCGTGCAAGGGGCCACCTCGCGGCACAGACAATTTCGAACCGAAGCCTACCAACGAGAAGAATCAGCCAGACCTTCAATTGACTTCCACCAAACGGCCTCACGAACACACGTCTGACGAAGACGAAAGAAGAGTTCGCGTCAAAACCAACAGCACTCCACAAAGCCCATCAACATCGGATGGCCTGCTTACACCACCTTCAGCACACGTCGGCGGACGAACTCCGGATATTGTGCGGATTATGGACTTCGTTGCAGCGGTCACTGGTGATATTGTTGCAGCTTTGGAAGATAAATCTTCGACCACCAGTGACCTTACACGCAAGACCGTTTTGAGTCAGTTACAAGAAGTGCTTGGTATGCTTGTCCCTTGTGTAACGAAGGTCCGCGACATAAGAGTCCTTGGCATTGAGATCGTCGGGCTTGCAGCTTTGGTAGATCCCTCGCTCGAGTTTGAGGGAATATTCACTATCATCTCGTCGCCCTATGCTGGCAGTATCCCGACGCCACTGAAACCAGATTACACCTACTTCCTCTCTATCGGAGATATATTCTGGGATCGCGCGACGGAGTTTTCGGCCGACAAAAACTTGAAACCTGGTATAAAGGCCGCCCCAAGTCCACAAGGATTAGTTTGTGCTGCTTTCCGTCTGCACATTGTCACAAAAGTGACGCCCCGAAATGTGTGGGCAACAGTCTGTCGACTGAGTAGCGGCAATGGGGTGTCACGCCTGAGCAAGGAGGACCTTTGGATGTACTTCCATCTTCACAGTGGCGCACACGGGAGGCTGCCACGAAGCAGGAAAGCTGATCATAACGATACCCCACACGCATCGCTGACATATACCCCGGACCGTGATTACGAAGGCCCCAAGGTCGGTCAACACACACACTTCTGTGCGTTAGATGCAGTACCGCACTACCCTAGCGAGGAAATGGTACCTGTGGGGAGTCTTGATGATGATAGTCGCAACCTCTTCCTTGGGGTCAAGGCCAATGCAAACAGTCCAAGTGGAAACCTCGTCGCACGTCCGATAGGCATGGACCAAGCTGCGGTGGAGCGCGGCCTTGGGCTAGTAGACCGCTCTCCTCGCAAGGCTATGCCTCTTGCACAGGCTAAGCGGACACGTGACAAACTGTTCCATCAACTGCGCATTCATCCCTCCAAAGGGCTACCCCGAGAGATTTCGTGACAAACTCCGCGAGAGATCCCGCAAATCTCCTCACAAAGTCAAGCGCGTTCAGCTCCGCGTACTCAGCGACAATTCCCAATGAGGAACAAACCAGGTCCTCAGTTGATCACCCTCGAAACCAACCCGTCAACAAGGTCAGTCCATTCAACGTCATGCCTCACATTCTTTTCAGCCCAGTATCGCATCCACACCAGCAAACATCAGCGCATGCTGCGGATGCGGTGAGGGCAGGTCGAAGATTTGGGGACGAAAGGGCCGGTACTCCAGCCACCGGCCAACGGGAAGCTCCTTCTCATGCTAACACAATGCCCAAGATCGCTTCGATTGCCAACCAACCTGCCATGGCACAAACTTTACATCAGCACGATGGAGTAATGACCAATGCCATCCTCAATGTGACAGAGCATAACCAGTCCCTCAATCTCAACCACCCGGTATCGAGCCCGCAATCCAGTCCAGAGAGGAAACGTACCGATGGGGATGATTAGCTCTGCTCGTAGCTACGGAGTGGGCTTTGAAGGTGAGGTACATGGTTGCTTCGTAACGCAGTGACGAACTCGTTCACCGTGCGTCGTGGAATAGCTAGTCTTCGGATTTCTCTCCTATATAGTATCCCGCCAGTGTTGTCTGGGCGCGCCGCCGCCTAGTATTTCATGGTATGATGCATGACAGCTTGCATTCATCAACGAGAGCATCAATTAAGTCATATTTGCAGGTCTCATCTCGTCAACAAGAGGCTGGTCTAGATCACAGTGTGATTGAACTTTCACGAAACTAATCAAGTAACGATACTGGCCTACTACACAATGTTTTACTTCATACCAAACACTACCCTTTTCACAAAGCACCCTATCTACCACAACCCCTGCCTTCATCTTCAGGCGGGTTTCGACTTCTTATACTCCGAGCGCTTTCATCGCGAGTCCTACGCTGCTGACTTTCGCGGTGATCGCGTTCCCGATATCTTGGTGCGTCTCTAGACGTACCTTGTTCGCGTCCTGGGCTGCTTGATCGACTTCGGTTCCGTCGTTCGCGATGCGCATCATGATCACCCGCTTGTTGTCGCGCGTGGCTAGGCATGGAGATATCGTTGGCATGACGTGGTGGTGCCGGCGGCGGCGGCGGCGGCGGCGGGCGCGACGGATATGCCCGATACGGTCTTCGCAGATACTCATTAGAGTCTTGGGACGAGCTCGGAGATGTTTGAAGATCCCCATTGTTATAGGGTCGTCCTGTGGGATGCCTGTGATGAGTATTTACACCTTTCCCCTTGTCGAGGTTCGTGGGGCTTTGGGGTTGGCCACTGTTTTGCCATTCCGAGATATCGCTTCTTCGCCTTCCTGCCTGCCTTTGTCGAGCGAATTCTGCCTCCGGTGCAGCTAACGGCACGTCGTCGCCAGGTATAGTCGCCCGGCCTCCGCTTCGTCCGACTTCCTTCTTTGACTCAGTCGCTCTAGGTGGCCTTTCGTTGTCCGCATCAGAATCGTCGTCCGCCACTAACCGTCCTGCATCTTTCCATACTTTGGCTAGAATCTTGTCTACGTCAGTCCAAGCCTTCCGCCACCTATCCAAGCCGCGCGCAACATTTCTATCCCAAGTCGCTATCCTTTCGTTCCAGAGGTTCTGATTGGCTTTGAGTCGTTCGACACCTTGGGCCAAGTTCGCCAATGTCTTCTTTTGTAACATAGTTGGCTCTTTGTTCGGCTGTATCTCTGATCGCTTGACGTTCAAGCGATGCGTGATCGCCTCCAAAGATCCAGTGTTGTCAGCTTGCTCCAGGAGCAATTCGTACTTCCATTTCTTGACGTTCTTGACTCCCTGGATATAACTACGTCCCAACGCAAGAGCCGTCTCAATCTTTCCCTCGAGCTCTCCTGTTAGAACTAATGCCCAAGTTTCGCGCCTACCGTCTCGTACTCTCTTAAGTCGCGGACGCGCACTGTTCGATGTCGAGATATTTGCAGTCGAATGAATCCAATTCCGACATGCTTGTTCCGAGTGTGTCGTCTCTAATTCTGCGTTGTCGTACATGACTCTACTTTTCTTGGGAGGTGAACGTGAACTCGACAAGATGCGCGAAGCTTCCGGACTTTTAAGTACAACGACAAAGCTAGCAAGTTTCTTTCACCACGATGTCGCTTTGTGATTTTAAAACAAAGGTTTTTTTAGTCCGACCAGCCACGCAATGATCACAAGGTTGAAGTGGAACGCTCTACAGGTATGACTACGCAATCTGATTGGCTACCACCCGCTCTTGTGTTGAAGTTGCTTCCCTTTTCGAGAGGACCTGATACACCACGATCTAGCTACCACTTGAAGCTCAGAAGCGAGACTTAGATAAATTCAAAACCATCGAAACCCACTAGGTGTATCAAATTCGGATGTCAATTCGATCTGTTCCATCTAAGCGGCAGTGGCAGACACAACTACACGACGATCATGCAGCATTCACTGACGCGTTGCGCGGATCGGGTTCTGCCAATTGTGCACTACGTCAGAAACGCGCTGACTACAATGAATTGAGTCTTCATGGGAGCACAGAGCTCTGCTGATGCACCCATTGAGAGTCAGTGCACCGCAATCTACTACATCAACTCCGCATTTCACTATTCCTTCTCGGAAAGACTTTTCTAGACAACCAAGCTCTCAATTAAACTATCACAACCCCTTCGAACATTGCATATACACAAGCCGCTTACACGTTTCAAGTCCGCTGAACATGGCGGATCGTCACCGTCAACAAGGTAAGGCTTCATGTCTCTACATATTTCAGCACTTTACTAATTAAAACAGACAAGGATAGCCCACAGGCATCGCGAGGGGCACGCTCCAAGGTCTTTGAGCAACGCGACGATGAGAAATTCGCGACAATCGAACTCGAGGAGGCCGTAGTCACCGAGGCGGAAAGCTCGACACTGAGCCCGGCCAGCCCTCCCCCGCAACCTGAACAAGACATCGAGCGCGTTCCGCAGCCGATTCACGCCCCTTCTCCACGACCACAACGGGGGGCACGCGAAGCGAGTGTTGATAGCCAAGACGGGTATCATACACCTTCGGAGTTCCCTCAAGAAGAGCGCGAACCTGCTGCTAGCTCGCGAGAGCAACCTACACGCCCTCACGATAGGCAAACAACCAACCATGCGCCAACCGAGCCGCAGTCTCGTCCGGGTACGAACACAGCTCCTGCACTATCTCCCCAGGAAGAGCGTAGCTTGGCCGCCATTCCCCAAGACCAGAGCGCACTGCTTCATGAAACTGGTAGACATGTCGTCAACACCCCACCGACCGGCCCGCGACCTCGTCTGGGTAACAGTCTAGCATATCGGCTTTTCGAAAGCTTCCTGCTTGCCCAAGACGAGCCCATTCCACCTGTTGACATGTCCACCAATGAAGGGAAAAACCGCTTCATTCAAGTCCTACAAGACTTTTTCCAGTACGCAGCGCGTCGACCAGAATCAGATGGAGGTATCGTCAGGCGTGGGGGACTTGGACTAGACATGGGCAACATCTTGACCGTCCTCTTTCCTGGATTCGCTGGCTTTACAGCTCTTGTCCTTTCCCAGCGCGCCAACAGCGTTCCTAAACAAGTCCGACGACCGCTTGGAACCTTCTTACGCAAGGGCGATCTGTTCTGGGCAGTCACCAACGAGTGGGTTGCTGATAAACACCAAGAACTTGGAGACAAATCCGCACCAACCAACTATGGACCCATCTTGACAGCCTTCCGGCTTCAAGTAGTGGTAGACTCCGATCCAGACATGCTACATGTCGTCTACGGTCGCTGCAGACAGTTCAGTGGGCTGGAAAAGATTCCCGATCGTCAGAAATGGAAGAATCTTCGACTGCTTGACGAATCGCTACCAGATAACCAGCCTGGGAATGACAGCCCCCACGGCAACGCCCGAGTTCTGGTAGGAGATCAATGGGACAATTGTATGGCTATCAACTCGCTTTGCCACATCAATGTGGTCGAAGTGCAGTCAATCACAACCATGCCCTGGGGGTGGATCTATGCTGGCCGTCTATCGGGCGACGCACTTGCCATGTTAGACAACCTTCGGAAAGCGTATTTCAACAAGAATGCTGACATCGCTCCGGTGCCTCAGGGTATATGTCATCAAGCAGTATGTGAAGGACTTCGCGGATTTGCTCCGCCTATCCACCCACCGAGGGAGAGCGAGTTTAAGAGGGCGAAACACAATCCGCGTCATCTTTTTCCAGACTACAAGGCGAGTGTGGAACCCGATTGGGATGCTCAACGCACGACTAGAGCTCAGCGTTCTCGCAACCCGTATCAAGGATACGGACAACAACGCCGGCCCGGTGATCGAGCACAGGATAGGGGCCGCCAGGATCAGCGTGACACCTATGGCCGAACCCGTCCAAATTCGCATCCGCGTCCGCGTACCCGTAGTCGTTCACCCCGTCCAAGGGACGACCATCGTCGAGCACGATCTCGCGATGACCGTCACTACCGACCAGAAAACTACGAAGGTCAGCATCCGCGCCGCCATCAAGACGATCGCCCTGCTGAGACGCGTCTCGGCGATCATGTCCACACTCGGCCCGTGTTCCATCCCGTGAACAACGTGATGCAAGATGGGCGATATCAGCCTCAGGTTTACCATAATCATGCATCGCGCGATCCCGACGACGACCGCAATCGCGAGCGTGGATACTACGAGGACGACCGTGGCCGTGACCGAAATGAATAGGGTGGCGCGTACCAGAATCCTGAGCCGCGCGATCACGACGACAACCGCAATCGCGAGCGTGAACACTACGAGGACGATGGTGGCCGTGGCATGCATGAGCAGGGTGGCGAGTACCAGAATGGAGATTTACTCAACTATGGTTGAGCGTACAAGAGGCCTCTCGTACGAAGAAGCCTCTTTGTTCCCCTGGTATCCGGATTCGGAGCGCGTAGATGGGTCGATGTCGGCATCTCATCTCAAGAGGTGTTCTCGATGTACGTTACAGTGAGCTTCAATTGAGGAAATGGGCTTGTTACCGCCGAAATATAAAACGAGGCTTTGTTCATTGTAAATCGTGTAGAACAATGAAGTATAGATTTCTCGATGGCGCGATGTGGTTTGGTCAAGCTTTTGTTATCGAAATTCCTTAACAACCGAAGGACGAAACGATGTCTACATGGTTCTTTGTGTGGTTTCCTGACTGCAAAACCCTATGTGAAGTGACCTCATTGTTCAAATTGCAGTATATGCGAGCTGTAACAAGGGTATCGCAACGTGATAGCCTCAGTCAATGCTCGCTGTTCGTATGATAACTGCGTTGACGATGGTCCGACAAGCCTAATTGCTGCGGCCGCAACATGGGCCGACAGCTGTCGGGTGCTAATCACAACGTAATTGTAGGTCTCGCCGCATCTCGAGTAGTGGTCCTTATTGATTCGCGAAGGCTGTAGCACAGGATAAGTGAAGTCTTCGGAGTCTGCTGGCGCAGCGGACTCGGGGCACGAAAGTCCCAACAAAGACATGTTTTCGTGTGCTTGTATCCAAACATGTCGCATGCGACGAGAACTGAGGCGCAGAGAAATTAATAACCGTCTAACGAGCGATGGACTGTGCGATAGCCGTTTCGATTTTGATACAATAAGAGGAAAAGGGAGTCGAGGGGCGGAGGACCGAGAACTCCGAGATGATCTCCTGAAGCTAATCCAAAAACGCGGCGCACGGAGACACTAAGCACGTGTCATGACATCACTCGTCGCCTTGCAATGATCATGTTCTCTTTTTCCAATTCTACGATCGAATCTAGATGCGCATCAAAATGATTGCATCAATGGTCTGCAACTACATACAATGACTTAGGAACGATGACACGCCGCACAAATTCCTCTCATCATTGCTTCCGATGTTCGCTGGGGCGCGTTGTGTGCATCACGGTGCGACCTGCACCTAGATCGATACTTGAGACATATCATTCTCTCTGGAACCAAGCATCCTGAACAACCTCTTTCGCTGATGCCCTAGCGGAAGTCTCCATTCGTAGCATGCTTCTGATAAGTGCGCCGACATGCAAAATGTCTTCTCGACTCAGATCCGCGCGTCTCTCTCCATCAAAGTACATTTCCTCTAACCATTCTTGAAGTGAGCTAGTGGGATCGCTCTCATCCAATGATTTTTCCATGGCATGCCAATCCATCTTCCAACGCTCCGGCAAATCGTCGCTGACTGTCTCGAGCATCTGACGCACAAGGCTGGCAGGTGTTGTCATGAAGCTGTCAAACGGTGGCTGTCCGACAATGAGCTCGAAAAGCTTAATACTTTATCAGCTATCCATCGAGACGCTAGGGCTCACATGGCAGAAGTCGGACTCACCAAACAACCCATACTCCAAAGATCTACGCGATAATCCACCTTATCTTTGAAGATAATCTCCGGGGCACGCACGGGAAGTGGAGTACGTAGGGCGCCGGGACACTCGTTGTGTAAGAAAGATTGACCAAAATCAATGATCTTGATCGAGCTGAAGGATGACTTGATGTCTATAGGGTAGGAGGTAGGTCTGACGAGATATCGGGGCATATTAGGTCCTATTGGCCGACCATGCCTTCTTTGCACAGTGCCTGTTTCGGGCCGTCCCAGCTTTTGGAGGAAATCTTCTTCTCGCAAGGCTTGGAGCGAAGGGATCGTGAACGCTAGGTTGCGCGTATGCAGATCTAAGGACGATGAGTAGAGTTAATTTGAACACCGGCATCATACTGTACCTGCATGCGCAATTCCTCGCTCGTGAAGGCAGCACAAACCAAGCAAAGCTTGTTTCGCAATGGTTTTCGCAAGCTTTCCAGGAAGCCTTTCCATGAAATGCGCGTCGAGGTAATCGGCCACACTTGGTCCTAAGAACTCCAACACAAGACATGCATGGGTCCCATTTGGACCACTAATCTGGAAACAATCTGTTATTGTCATGAGACGCTGGTAGCCAGGCTGATTCGATTGCGCTGCCGTTATTGTACGCAAGACTGCAGTCTCTCGATTTTGATGGATTGTCTCGGATACCGATATCTTTAAAGCGACATAGGTTTGGTTCCTAGTAGCATCTCAGCTCAAGTCGTCGATGTTTCGTAGAAATCGGGACCTGATATCGCGCGCGGCCCAGACAGTCGAGTATCCACCCCAGCCTAATTTATGCAGGACTTTGTATCTGCCATTGCTCAAACGATCGCCAAGGTGGATGGGGTGATAGCCACCCTTTTTGTAACGATGCAAAGGCTCGGCATCAATATCGCAACCATGTGTGGACCAGTCCATTGATGGACCAGGCTGAGAAGGACGCGCAAGCGTAGATGAAAGTGAACGTCTAGGCGCGAGTGCTGCCCAGGGCGATTTGTCTACCAGCCATTTCTGAGCTGATATTGTGTGAACTCGAACGCTTGTCCTAGCGGCATTCATGTTTTCGCTCACACGCTTGCATTGAGGTGTGAAAGATGTCTAGCTACCTAGGTACTCTATGGTGGGGTGGAGATCAGACCCTTGAGAAGGGACCCGTGGACGCCAAGAAATTATGTACGGTGCCGGGCCGCAAGTTGAGCCGGCGCGCGTTTCGAGCCACCCAAACATCCTAATCATCCCAACTCCTACGCGCCATAACTCCAGCAACATGCACCCAATTTAGAAAGCAATCGCGGCAACCGATTCGCGCGAAAAGGTTTCGAGTCATACTGAACGTCTGGAATAAGCTCACGATCGCACCTCCTACCCGTGATCGCTCCTGCTGCGCCGCGCCTCCAACACACATAAAAAACAGATAAGACTCGTCTGGGGTTCAGACTACTGTTCGCATCCAATAACTTAACTAAATTCAACACAACTCTCCCCACGACCTTGATACGGCTTGAAAAAGTCGCGAATCGACATTCTCATGGACTCTGGAGTCCTTCCCGCGACTGCCTGCACACATGGCTCTTCCTGAGCCCACCCAAGGCTCTGCACTTCACATGCCGAGGATTCACTCTCATTCGTCGAAGACTCGCCTACTTTTCGAGCTTTCCTTTCGCTCACGTCGTGATTCTCCCGCTTTCGCTTATTGCCACTGGGGCGATGAGGCAAGCCTTCACACGGTTCGGTCGGCTTCGGAGATGGCGTCTCTCTCTTGTTGTACTCTAGCGCTAATTGCCTCAGGCCATCTCTGAAATCCTGAGCCTGTTGCGACATTGGTACGGAGGGGTTTGTAGCTTGGCCTGTCCATGCTTCGACGCTGTCGTCGATGCTTATATCGCTAAACGGATGCTCGACGTCATCTGCCATGATTGCTGCTGGCACAACGTCGCGCACAGAGATTTGGCTATCTTTGTCTCGATAGTCATCTGGTCTATTCCAGTCAAGTGACGGTTTCGCTGTGATCTCTAGACGAGCTGGGGTGATGTCGCATGTATCGCAATTGGATCCCGCCACACGCCACAGTTCCGGATCACTCTGAACATGGGAATGAGATGAAGCCGGCGAACGTGGACTCGCAAGACCATCATGTGAATTCTCGGATTGAGCTCGGTCATGGTGTTGTCCATGGTGTTGTCTACGGGCATGTCTTTGCGACCATGAGCGGGACTGAGATCGATAACGAGATTGTCCACGACTTCGCCCACTCAATCCTTCCTGCCTTCCATGGTCATGGGTATGAGGCTCTCTTCTACGATGCCTGGACCTGTTGTCTTGTCTTCGCGATCGAGAATGAGACCTGGACCGAGACTCAGTGCGAGGACGTTGGGCATGATTAGTACTTCGCGATCTAGCCTCCCGCCTCTGTTCGCGGTGTGATCTCCGATGTCTTCTGTCCCGGGATCTTGACCGAGCGCGCGGCTCTCGATGCCTGGGTACTGAATCATCCCGGCTAGATGCTCGATCAGGCTCATATCTATCGATCTGACCATCACGCACCCACAGGCGATCGAGTTCTTGTTGCACCGCAAACCAGGCATTTATCCATCTCTCTTTGCCTAACTTTACCGAGTCTTCTGCGAGTCGACGGTAATACTGGTAGTATTTCTTCGTCCTATGACACTTCTTTCGCTCTTCTAGAAGGTCTTGCAGCTTATTTCTTTCCTGATCAGTTGCTTGTCCAGTTTTTCTAACCTTCTTTTTCATAACTTCTATCAGGTGTTCCAACTCTTCCTCCCAAGCCTCGGTTCTGGCTCCAGCCTCGAAACGGCCCTTGTCTTCATCAGCCACGCTTTCGGGGGTTCTCCAGTATTGGTGAGCGATGCATAAAGCTTTGCGTATCTTTTCCGCCAGTGGTTTGGACAGAACCAACGCATCAGGCGACTCTCGCCCGTCCTGAACTCGTAGGAAATGTGCTGACCTATCAGTGCATTCTATTCTCTCTCTGTCTTTCGACGTCCAGCGACGATATATGCCTTTCAATTGATTGACGTGATATTCAGGGTCCCAGTCATGATAAAAAAGGTGATTAGGCTCCATCTTGGCAGGTTTCTAGATAGCATGATGGCAAAGCGAGTCGTGATGATATAGGCTCAAACAAAGGAGGCTTACAGATCCACGTATATCCGGATTCGGTAAACGTAGTGCAACTACAACAAAGACATCATTCTTCTTTCATGTAGACAACGGCCTTTCACACTCGCTAGCTCTCGACGGCCCAGCTCTGTCAGAGAGATTGCGAGACTAGACTGGATCGAGCTTACACAACACCACTGGGCACGTACCTCAGCTTGCGACTAGCAGATGCAACGACTTTTGACATTCACTGAAGCCAAGACAACCACGATGCCTGCCCCTATTTCAACAGAGCCCCCTCTGGGATTACAGTCGCTACCACTCCATGGGCACCTCAACTCGCCTGGACCTTTCATCCTCGCCTCGACAATTGAAAGGGATTGACCTCCATGCCTCGCGGAAGCCAAACCCCAAAGCAGCCTCCGGGCCTTGAACGTGCACAGGTTCCACAGGAGGTTGCCAAAGGGTCACCATACGATTTGCGCAATGATCGTAGGCCGGCAGAGGAGCACGATGACAGTCGCGCGGAGGAACAAGATCACCGCGGCCGCGACAGACAAGGCAATGAGCCCTCCAAACACGAACCAGATGAGCCTCCTCGTCGACAAAAACGATCACGCTCACGCACGCGCTCTCGTGACCGAGATCAAGGCCATCCTAGGAGCCCATCCAGGGTTGCAAAACGAGCGCGGAAAGGTAAACCTTCTCGGCCGCGGCGGGAACACCCAGCCAGAGAAGGCGATCGACCTTCCAGGAACGAGCATGCTCGAGGTCGCGATGCCCACCAGAAACAATCGCCCTCCCCTGAGCGTACTCCAGCTCCCCCCAAGCGCAATCCAGATTCCACCAAGCGGACTCCAGATCCATCCGACCGCACTCCAGATCTGCTACGCCTGTCTTCAGCTCCCGGCATAGGCTACACTGTGATAGACCACAGCAAGAAGACACGCTTTCAATGGGGACCGGCGTATGGACAGCCCCAGGATACGTGTCAGGAAGATCTGACGAAGTTACTTAAAGCCGGGACTGTGATATCCGTTCGACATTGCGATTTTTCGTCCGACCCTGATGCGGAAGTTGGAGAGAAGTTCACGCTGTCTTCGCAAGGACTGATATACACCAAAGAAGACGTCCCTTTTGTGGTTTGCCGAGTTGAACCTACTTACGTCACCGGCTGGTATTGTCGCAGCGTCGGTGATCGCGGCTTAGGAGTGCCTTGGATATCGGAGTCGGAACGCGCAAAGTACATGGGAATGGCCACGAAGGACGACCCAAATGGACCTGGAGGAAACAACAGTCCGCACGCCCAGCTCCAAATGACGCGAAGGGGACTAACCAGATTCCTCAAGCCAACAACTCATGTCTTCGCTGGCGAGATGTCAAGGGCTAAGGTTCCACCAAACTTTTATATCTGGGGCTGGCTCGCGGCCGAGCAATTCTACCGTTTGATGAAACTGCACGAGTTTCTCACGGCATCTCCTGGATCGGCTGCCGGAAGAATCGCTTCGGTTCCAACAACTATTGGCTTCGATATCAATGCGCTCAGCCTGTTACGGACTGCGGAGCAATCTTTGCTCGTAGGTTTCGAAAAGAAGATCGCGGCTCTCGAGGCTCAACACAAGCCGAAGCCACCCAACGACGACACGGACGCAAACACCCGTCCGCCTCGGGTTCAGACAGCGCCGGATGGGCGTAATCCAGCTCCTATCACGCGCGCCGGTGCCGGAGACGTTAGCACGACAAGGACGCCGCCGCCACCACCACCACCACCACCACCACCAGCGACTACGCGGGCTAACCACAAGACGACACGGCAAAAGCAGCGGCAACAACCACGGGCTGCGGATAGTACGTGGGACAGCGGGTTTCAGCCACCAACGGGGCCGAGGAGTATGCGCAACCGCGAGCGTCAGCCTCGTTCGTCAACAAGGCCTCGTCAACCACCAAATCCTTAGGGCCGCGTCATTCTAGGAAAAAGCTGAACACCCTGGAGCCTACGTTAACGTTGTGTCAGACACTTTGCAGGTCTTTGTCTTAATGTAGTCCGCAGGCCGGTTCAATCTTTTTCTTGTATGAGGTGGGGCGGCGTAACAAGTCTTTCAGACAGTTTGGGAGGAACAACGGGTGACATTGGTCCACACCAATCTTCAGTGCACAATGAGCAGCGCGATGTGCTCAAGGAACAAAGCGCGGAAGGTTGTTCGTCGGCTTTAGGCGATAAAGAGGTACGAAGAGGGCCTGTCAGGTATACTGTTGGTGTCAGAAATGAGATGCGCTCATGTTATGAGTTTGTATAGCAAGGATGTCGTTGCGAGGTTGATAATCTGCTGTATATAGGGGTCGAGATGACATCTTGATTCGAGACCAAGTCTGTTTTGTATGGGAGAGAGGCTTGCTATATGAGGAAAATAAAATAAGAAATAGTCTGTTTGTACATAAAATGTAACAGGATCACAACGAATGAGGCTGAATAGCGCAAAGCTTGTGAAGGAAGGAAGGATGCGTAGATGCCCAAGTGACGATGCGGCTCCTTGCCCGCCAAGACCCCGGAGATTGCCGGCGCCGATCATCACAACTCAAGGAAGCATCGCTCGTGAACTTCGACAACTGCGCCAGCTTCTCGTCTACGGGCTATACAGCATGCTCCGTGTAGTTGCTCGTCACCTTCCCGTCGCTTTTATTTAGACCGTAGATCGCAGTTCACACTAGCGCGTACACAGCTCCACCGCTTCCGCCAGCCACCGTCGCGCGCATTCGATGGGTATCTGCTCGTCGTGCCTGGGAGGGCGAAGGACTTCTGAGTCTGATGTACGTCCTCACAGATGACGTATGGTGTTATACCAGTACTGACGTACTTCCACAGAACTCGGACGCCTCGCACCTACTCGGAGACCAATACCAGCCCAACTATGGAACCGCCAGCAGCACCCACAACGCGCCCCAGCCAGACCCAGAGGAGCTTCGACGTCAGCGAGAGAATCTGGAGCGAATCTGCGCTGAAACCAATGAGTGAGTACCACCTTCCTCATCTCCGAGCGTTCCTTCCCACGAAGTCGCTCGCACCTTCCCACAAAGGAGCCCGCACCTTCCGAGTTACGGACCACAGAGTCCTCTGAACGTTCTACAAATCTGCAGTAGGACATAACGCTGATCACATACAGGCAACTAATCCCCGTCTCTCAACCGAGCGCTCTCCCCGAAGTCACCGAACAGCCCTCCAAGAACGACGAATACGCACATCTCTTCAACGAGCGCTTCAAGTCGATACGAAGCCAGCGCCCATCCTCCGCCGGTAACGACGATGATGACGAAACAACATGGCTCGAGAATGCCATGGGCAACCAGGGCGAGGATGAGCTGGAACAGATTAAGCCAGCCAAGGGGAAGCTGACGATTCAGTTCGGTCAGCGGTAGACACCTACACTATGGGCCTCGAGGACGGCGATATCCTGCGACCCTGTACGGATTCTCCGGCTGAGGCTATACGTACTTTTTCATTGTTTGTCTTGTTCTGCATTGCATCAGCGCCATTACGGATACCCATAATCTTTTCCTTCTGTTGTTCCTACGCCTCGAAACGAGGTCGTCTACGTACGTCTTCAAGTAGCATAATCATGTCTGCATCGAACGTCTTCTCGTCTCCTTTCGTTCATGCGTGTCAACAGTTGGCTTGGCAATGCCGTTATGCGAGGCACGTTCTTCTTCATTACTCATTTGATGCAATTGGTTTCTAGATACATGCTCCTACGATAGTACTTCGCTATCCTAGGCGAATGCCAAGCTGTCCAAACGAAGCCAACCAATGCCGACTCGCTACCCATGTGAATGGACTGATGAAAGTCCCGACAACTCTGTCTATCGCTGAAGATCTATCAATGCAAGAAGGAGGCCAAGGTAATCATCGCTCGGGCCAATGCAATGCCATCAACACCATAACCTACCCTAGACAGCCTTGAACAACAAGTCAGGAGGACCAGCCGCAGGCTTCTCGTCACTCACACCCAGCTCCGCAAGCATACTACCAGCGCGCTCATCCATCAACCTGGCCAACTCCTCCCGAAACTTCTCGTCGATGAAGTCAAGGCGCAACTTCAAGCCTGGCTGCACCATGCGCTGCTTCTCCGGGTCCAGCTTCTTAAACGTCTTCTTGCCCCAGACCAACGCGGCGCTCTCCATGGCGTTGAAGAGGGCTTTGTTATCGTCCCCGTCCATGGTGTCGGCGTTGAGGTACTTGGTTGCCATCTGCTCGACGAATGCGCCAACGGTACATTCATTAGCAGCCTGGTCAGCCTCGTTCTTCGTTGTGTCAGCTTTGTCGTCGTCGATCACAGCTCGATACCCGTTACTTACACTCTGTTCAGCCAAGGAGGCTACAGTCTCTTCTCCAGTTGTCTCGCCTGTCTGATCTAATCCCATCTTCTCACGGAGATGCTTCTGGATGTACTTGTACGTCTCGCCCTGTGGCCTCGGTACACCACCTCGCTTGATGATCTCGGGGATCCTCGAGGCAGGGTTCGACAGGACGGGGTTCTGGCGACTCAACAGCGGCTCTTCGTATGGTCCGATGGCAGCGTCGTAGAGGGCCTCGTCGCCCTTGTACTCGCCGCCTAGGTAGCCGTTCGACCGACCACCACTGCGTACACTGCCGTCGACCGGGTCCGAGTGCGGGGATGGTGGGTCTTGATAGGTTGGAGCGGTGGTTGATCGTCGAGTCGCGCGTGTGGCAGGTGGTGTCCGGGTAGCGGTAGCAAGGGCGCTCTCGGCGAAGGTGAGTTCAGTTTTGCGCTTCTTGCTGGGTGTGGGTGAGTGATCGTCTGGCTCGAAGTCGTCTTCGGAAGATAACTCGTCGACCTCACTGTCAAGAACAACCGGCTTCTTCCTAATCGAGCGCTTCTTCGCCGACGATTTCTGGACAGACGCACCAGCCTCCTTCGGCGCGGACTCAATCTCTTTCTCCTCTTCCTTAACTTCATCATCCTTCTTCTCTTCGCTCTCACGTACGGGTGTGCTGCTCGCCACCGGCCTACGTCTCACCGTCCTACCCGCAGGAGTAGTACCGACACCAACCCCAGCCGCACCTGGCGTCGCCATATTACCATGAAGCAGACCTTTGTTATTCTTCACCCGCTTCTCATAGCACGGCTGGCAGACCTGGAACGTACAGCCAGGGCAGCGGCGCATAGTATCCATATTCCGCTGATCGCACTCAGTGCACTTGGCTGTGTGGACAGTCACCCGGCTAAACAGCGTCTCGTCGACAGTGCAGGGCTGGATTGCCGATGATGCTCCTGGAGTGCGGGGCGCGCGTGTGGGGAACGGGCTGCTGGAGGAACGTGGGGTGTTGGGGAGGAGCGGCCGGTTACGTCGGCCTGGTGTGGACGGTGCGGGTGAAGGCGCGGGTACGGGTGTTGGTGCAGTTGGCACCTTAGCGTGAAGGCCCGCATCTGGACCTGGTGTTGCTGGAGGATCCATGGCGCCACGTGGTGAGCCTTGCTCTGCTTGCTCTGGTGGGGGTGGGTCGGGTGCTGTATCGCTCATGTTGTTTAGTTGCCTTGTCCTTGCGGAGGATGAGTGTACTGAGGATTGTATCGCAGGACTTTGAACTGTTGATGTGGACGCTGGAAGAAAAACACACGGTGGGGGATATATACTCCCAAGATCTGAGACTGAAAAAGGGTCTCAGTAGTCGCCTGAGACTTGTCGGTGACTCGCCGCTTGGACCGTTATATCCTAATCCAGGTCTGTAGGAGAGAGACTGATTCAAAAAGGTATTGAGTACAATAGGTGTGGACGGTAGAAAGTCGATGTTGAAACAAGGCGCAACTTCTGATCAATCTGATAGAAGTTGGTGCTTTACGCTCGGACTAACGCGGGGTATAATGACGCGAGATTCAGGCGCCAGGGTTGTAGAAATCGAACCGGAATGGAATGTCGGATCCGGGGCGAGCGGGTTCAAACGGGGGTGACTGAGGGTTATGGGTGGCGAGATCCGAGGGATCGAGGGGTAAATGTTGCTCGTTCGAGGGAGTATTCACTGACTGGAACTGGGACTGTTTGGGGCCTTGGGCGTGACCTTGGGTGTGGCTTTGGGATAGACGGATAGAGACGGGTGGAGAGTGGAATGTATGTACAAGTACAGGTGCAAAGAGCAGAAAGAAGACAACCACCGCAACCACCACCAAGCTATATACAATCCTTCCGACGCGCTATGTGAAGAGAAGAATAAGAGATAGCCAGCCGGCTCACATACACGACGGAAGCGGACTGCAAAACGAACAAGAAGCGGGAGGCGAACGAAGGACCAGTCATTGTTGATTATGTGAAGAGGAAATAGTTCTTTATAGAACGTGTGACATGTCACATCTGTCACAAGTGGTATTGGAGTCATGGAGTGTTGCGTAGCATTCACGTCCAGGGATCGAAGGGAGCTGCGTGCGTTGGTGGTACGGTGGCAGGTGCAGTGGGGAGATGGTGACAAACGGTGGGGATGGGAGTTGGGGCTCGGGTTACTGGATGGGGTAATCGTGGTCGTTGCAAGGCGTAAGCGGGGATGAAATTGTTGGTTGTGCGTAGTGAGCTCTGGATTTTGTGTCTTTGATCTGTGGGTGGAGTTTTGTGACTTTGCAGTGGTTCGTGGTGCACTTAGATGTCTCGAAGCGATGAGCCACTCACAGCTTCCGTAACCTAACCAATAGGCATATGGGGAAAGATTTCGAATAGTAAGCGTCGCTGCGATGAGATACTGGAGTTTCTTTGGAGTCTTTGTATATGTGTTGGGTGGGGTGTGGTACGGTCCCCAAAAGACCCTGGGCCGGGTCGCTGTTGGATGGCCGTGGTCGTTGGATGGCCCCATCTTTGCCATGCGAACGTGCGGATCCTGCGGGCCGATCTCGCAGTGGATCTAGATCTGTTGGATGTCGTGCCACATTGCATAATCGATGGCTTTGCGATGCTACCCTGGTACTGACAAAAGCGTGCTTGACATCTGGACCAGACTTCGGAACCGAGGATGCAGATATGCTCGGTGGATCGCAGCAGCATCAGCGACGCTTCTGAGCGCTGTGAACAGTCAGTTTTCCTATATCAAACGCGGTGTCGTAGTCATGACGTGGCGACGAAAGCTCGGTACAGCATTCTCCCAGACCAACGGCGTGAGGCTCCTGCTAGTCACTAGTGAGGCTCTCGTGATGACTAGCAAAGCTGCTAGAGGACTGGGCGGTGTGCTTGTCTGATAAGAAAGCTAGATCAAACGCTAGGGGTGGATGCCGTTGATGGTATTCAAGTCGACGTGTCGTGCATTGCGGATCTACAGAATGCATGCACGGTACCTGAGGAAGTGCAGCCTCGCTTACCCAATCCGGCGCAGAAGGAACTCGCATCTTGCAGATGTGACACCTGCAAGGAGCCGCATCGCCCATCAAGTCCAACCCCGCTATGGGCCGTGAACCATTTTCCCGAATCTCTTTTGCCGCCTCGAGCGCCGACGGTCGCTCTGCCGCCATGGCTGTTGTGTTGGGTGCTTGCTTCTGCCTAGAGCGGGGTCTCGCCGCTTGATGACGGCTCTAGAGAAATTTGGGGGTGTGCGGCCTCACCGGCGACTCTCTTGGAAAATGCAGCGCTATATATACATCGTTGCCGCTTCTTCAGCAGCGGCGGCACCGGAGTGTCGTCGTACGCTGTACGCCGCAGAGAGCAGATAGCTGGAGACGGCGGTGAGTGGACTGCATTGTGATTGCAGTAGACCTAGCAGCGGGCACTAGCCACACCGACTAGGCTAACAAGGGCGCGCAGCTTCTTCAGTTCGGAATGCGCAAAGCGCGACAACCAAACATCGCGCGTCCATCAACAGACCGCCAAAATCATCAAGCGCGCGTGACAGTCGTCTGCGCGGAAGTTTGCGCCGCGCAATCATATAACTCTGGAGGCTGTCGCAAAGTACGCGTCGCGGGCTGTTCGAAACCCAGCCCTTAAGCGAAGACAACCCTGCCCATCACGACAGCATACACATACTCGAATCCTCCTGGCTGAGCTCGCCGGGTATTCTTAAGCGGAGAAGAGCGTTGTGGCGGTGCGGCTGAAGACCATATCACCAAATCAAAAGCTTGGGGCTGCAGCCTCTGCCTCCTCGCAGCGGCCGGATTCGCACACCACCAAGCACCTTCCTCTCGGCGGCCTGCCCTTGCCAGTTCGAGACCTGGTGTGCGACCTACCCCCAGGCCTCCAACAACCGTGTGAGACGATAAAGTCGCCTCCCACGACCTTGCACAGACCGTGTATCTGTGCGCAGCCATAAGTGTCTAAGACAGCCGCTACGAGAACAGGAACATCAACGAAGAAACGAGCTCACGATCACGACCACGACCATGGATCAGCCAGAGCCCGCGACACCGCTTTACCCGGCCATGGCCCTCCTCAACTACATGCATGCGCCCACAGTCGGCTTCTACTACATGGGCGCTTGCGCATTCAGTTTGTGCATATTGCAAAAACCACGATTAGTATCAGCAAAGAGGCGGTGGAGCATACTCATCGCCATGCTCGCGATACTGGTCGCATACATCACAGAGGTACTTTACTACTTCAGTCGGTCAATGGGCGATTGGGACTATGAGGCACCACAACCTGCAGCAATCCGCTGCTTAGGATCGATACTGGTCTGGAGTCCGCTCGCATACATACTCTGGTCGAGTAAGGCGTTACGGTGGCACGCCTACTTTGGCGCGTTTGTCCTGCAATTCGCTTTCGAGACTACGACATGCCTGATAACGGCATTTTCCATCCCGGAGAAGGGTCGGCAGAAGAATGCGCCTTTCGTGATTGACTGCGTCAGGGCGTTGGCTTCGCTCATAATGCTTCTTGACGCCTTCATCATTCTGGTCACCAAGCAGGCGGTGATCAGCACGGACGAGGAACGCCAGTCTCTGCTAGGAAAGCAAGCGAATGGTTCATCAACACCCAACGGCAACGCTGGATATGGCACCATACCTACTGGAACGTCGAGCGACGATGAGGAAGCACCGCCGAAAGATGACGACAAGGATATCAAAGAGCAACAGGCAAAGCGTCTCGAAGAGGAGGGTGGCTGGTTCGGATATCTCAAGGGTTTCGCCGTGTTCTTGCCTTACCTATTCCCGAGAGACGACTGGAAAGTCATGACATGCCTGGGTCTACGACTCATTCATATGCTGACAGAGCGTGTTCTGAACTTGCTTACTCCTCGCCAAATCGGTATCATCACCAACAAACTACAGCACTCTTATGAGACCCAGAGTGGCGTCATGCCGTGGAGGGATATTGGCCTCTGGATCTTGTTCTCATACATCAACAGCTATGCTGGGCTCGGCATAATCGATGGCATCGCAAACTTAGTCATCTCGAACTCCGCGTATCGGCGCATCACCTTGCTCGCATATGAGCATGTCCTCGGTCTATCCATGGACTTCCACACCTCGAAAGACTCCGGGGAGGTTCTCAAAGCTGTTGAACAGGCGTCATCTCTAAACTCGCTCATCGAGATGGTTCTCTTCGACATTGCGCCCATTCTGTTGGACCTCTTCGTAGCCATGTACTACGTAACGCACTTGTTCGACGCTTACATGGCCTTCATCATCCTTTTCATGGGCGCAGCATACATCGTAATCGGATTCTACTTCACGACGCTCTCTCAGCCGAAGCGAAGAGACTATGTCGAAAAGCAGCGTACTGAAAGCTCTACAGTCAATGAGACTGTCCACAACTGGCAGACGGTCGCTTACTTCAACCGATTGGTGTTTGAACACAAGCGCTATGCCGAGAACATCATGAACACCATCTCCGCTCAATACGCATACTACTTCCGATCTATGGGCGGCCATGCGGCACAGGACGTTCTGACAACTCTCGGGTTTGCCGGTGCTTGCGTCTTTGGTATGTCGCAGATTGTCACTGGCCGCAAGCCAGTCGGCAATCTTGTCACTCTGATCATGTACTGGCACACAATGACATCGCCCCTATACGTTCTCTCCTACAGCTATCGCCACATCTCCAGCTCGCTTATTGATGCTGAGCGCCTTCTGCAGCTACTTAATACTAAACCTACAGTTGCCGACCAAGACGGTGCAAGAGACATTGTGGTTTACGCGGGTGAAGTCGAGTTCAAGGACGTCGACTTCCACTACGACGAGCGTAAGCCCATTATCAAGGGCGTGAATCTGAAGGCGGAAGGCGGACAGACCATCGCCTTCGTTGGTGAGACAGGAGGCGGCAAGTCGACAATGCTGAAATTGCTGTTCCGCTTTTACGACGTGACCGGCGGCTCAATCATGATCGATGGTCAAGATCTACGTTCAGTCACGCAAGCCAGTCTCAGGAATGCTCTCGGTCTTGTGCCGCAAGACCCTGTCCTCTTCAACCAGACCATCCGACAAAATATTCGCTACGCCAAACTCGACGCAACGGACAAGGAGATCGAAGATGCCTGTGCCGCTGCTGCCATTCACGACGACATCGTTGGCTTCCCCGACGGCTACAACTCCAAGGTTGGCGAACGTGGTGTTCGTCTCTCAGGCGGTCAACTCCAGCGCATAGCCATCGCACGCGTACTCCTCAAGAACCCCAAGATCGTTATGCTCGACGAAGCCACGTCAGCAATCGACTCTTCCATCGAAGCGCTCATCCAGCAAGCGTTCCGCAAGCTGAGTCAAGGCCGCACGACCTTCGTCATCGCGCATCGCCTCAGCACGATTGCTGATGCGGATCAGATCCTCGTTGTGGAGAAGGGCGAGATTATCGAGAGGGGCACGCATCAAGAGCTGCTGAAGAATGAAGTTGGCAAGTATTCGGAGCTTTGGTCGAAGCAGACTGCGGGGCACTTGTCGAAGACGCCGTCGAAGGAGGATGTGAAGAAGGATGTAGCGACAAAGGAGACCGAAGACACGGTGACCGAAGACGAGGACACCGAAAACAAGAAGACGAAGCAAACAGATGAGGCAACTGCAACGGCCGTAGAAAGGAAAAGCGATAATGAGGACACGACAACGAAGCGTAAATGAGCATAGCTTGCTGTCTAGGGAGGAACGTAATTAGGGCTTTCGGCCACGTAGTATCGCGATACAGCAACGCGAATCGCATTAATCACAACACACACATCAGAAAAGATTCCCAACGTCATCCCGTAAAACTCGTCCGCTTGCTTCTGCAGTTTGCGACCTCATGATCCGTATACATTCCTGCTGCCTTGAAGCCGCTCAGCCAACGCGGGACAACAAACCCGCCAGCCAGTCGCAAATGTGCCCTAAACAGGTGGGCGTTCTCGGGAAGACAACATGCCGACTCTGACGCACGGACTTTTGCGGACCAGCTACGCGCAATCGAAACGATGCATGTGCGGGCGAGCAGCTGAATGTTTAAGACAGCTTGCTGAACCTCAATTCTCTCTTCTTACGATATATTATCTGTGCTGGTTTACTACTTGGCATTACAGTACCACGCCGCTCAACAACCCCCGTCGTGGCGCAGACACAACTTCCTTACGTCATCCATTACCGAAACACCTTGATTCGCCGCTTCGCCACATCCACGCAGGTCGAGCGACCCAAACAGTCAATCCCTTTCGGACATCTGCAACCGCGCCCCTTGCGCAGAATTCCTCTTATGGCGGTGCCGAAACGCTTCCTGCTGCTTGCGGCTGCGGCGTGGACGTGGTTTAGTCAGCGGTATGCGCCTGCCGTCGCTGTCTCGCAGGGCTACATTAAGAACACCATTGCGCTTTTCGCAATCGCAGTCTTCGTTCAACTGGCATGGTCCATCGTTATCTACCCATTATTTCTGAGTCCGTTGAGGCATCTACCCTCGCCGCCAGACAGCCATTTCCTGCTCGGCCACTTCCGACGCATTTACAAGGACCCGACGGGTGAGCCGCAGCGGGATTGGATTGACAACGTGCCGAATGACGGTGTGTTGTATTATCGGTGGTTGTTCAATGAGCCGAGGATACTGGTGACGAATCCGAAGGCGATTGGAGAGGTGCTGGTGACGAGGAGCTATGAGTTTGTTAAGCCGGGGAGGTTGAGGAAGGGGTTGGGGAGGTTGTTGGGCGTGGGGATTCTGTTGGCGGAGGGGGATGAACATAAGGTGCGTATACATGATGGGCTTAAGAAGATGGTAGCTAATGTGTCTGCGATTGTAGCGCCAGAGAAAGGCACTTATGCCTGCGTTCAACTTCCGACACGTCAAAGACTTGTACCCGATTTTCTGGAGTAAATCCCAGGAATTTACCGAGAAGCTCGCTGAAACCATCAAGAACAGCCCCGATGAATCATCCGTAGTCGAAATCGGTCATTGGGCTTCCCGCGCCACTCTCGACATCATTGGTGTAGCAGGAATGGGCAAAGACTTCGATGCCATAAGCAACCCGTCCAACGAACTCAACGAAACCTACCGCAAGATCTTCGCCGGCGCGCGTGGTGCTCAACTCATCCAAGTATTGCTGAATCTGCTCCCCCACTGGGTCGCTGTCAATCTTCCCTTGGCGCGCAACGACATAATCGGCAACGCCGTCGACACCATCAAGAAAGTCGCCAGAGATCTCATCCACGACAAGCGCGAGAAGCTGCAATCCGGCGAGGCAAAAGGCATGGACATCTTAAGCGTAGCCATGGAATCCGGCGGTTTTAGCGACGAAGACCTCGTAAACCAACTCATGACGTTCCTCGCCGCGGGCCACGAAACTACCGCTTCAGCCATGTCATGGGCCGTATACCTGCTGTGTCAAAACCCTGATGTGCAAACACGACTTCGACAGGAGATCCGCACCGAGCTGTCTGAAGCACTGCAACCAGGTGGCCAGATCTCTTCGACCGAAATCGACCGACTCCCCTATCTAAACGCCGTACTGCAAGAAACAATGCGCATCTACCCCCCCGTCCCCCTCACCCTCCGCGAAACCGCCCACGACACCACCATCCAAAACCACTTCGTCCCCGCGGGTACAACCGTCGTAATCTGCCCGTGGGCCATCAACACGTCCACCCATCTCTGGGGCCCAGATGCCCGCTCCTTCAACCCCGACCGCTGGATGCAGCCCGGTACTGCCAACACGGGCGGCGCGGAGTCGAACTATGCCATTACGACGTTTTTGCATGGGCCAAGGAGCTGTATTGGCATGCAGTTTGCCAAAGCGGAGTTTGCTTGTCTCGTGGCGAGTTTGGTGGGGAGGTTTGAGATTGGGTTTGAGGTGGAGGGGCATGTGGCGGGGATTCAGGGGGGGATTACGGCGAGGCCTAAGGGGGGGTTGAGGGTTAGGTTGAGGGATGTTGGGGTGGGGGAGAAGGTGTAGATGGGTTGTGTGATGTGAGCAGTACATTGTCGGAGGTCATGAAAATTCCCAATGTGCATAGCCCATGTTCCTCGCGACGAGCATCGAGCACGAAACATCAAAGATCAATGGTCATGAGAATGGGTTAGTCTGAGTTGCGTGTGAAGCAATGTTGTCCTGTTTGGGTTGAACGGCATCAGTAATCGGCTCGCGTCCCCTGCAGGCGCTTGGTCCAGCTGCCACACAACATACCTCTGGTACTATTGTCATACTTGGATGATCTTACCTTCCTTACGAGTTCTACGTGGGGTAATTGAAGACCTTCGCCGACCAGCAAGGGCCATCCTAGACGTTCGCTGCGAGACGAGCCGCCGGTGGGGGTGGGAGCGCGCGCTATTGGGTATTGAACCGTCGAGAACACCCTGGAGTAACAACCCGTTTTGGAAAAGCTGCAATCTCCGAGTTACTGCATCATGTACAGAAAATCAAGGTAATCTTAACGATCATGGAAGCAGTTTAGCGTGCCATACTTCGTGGCTGTCCAAGGTTTTCGTTGGGCGAAGTCGGCGGCATGCGATCGAGGCAGAATGCCGCTTCTGGACTCTGATTGGTCAAGCCCTTGGCGAAGAACGTACCACATTCGCATGTCCTACAAGGTCTGCATAGGCTATGACAGGCCTTGCATCGAACGCAATACATCCTTTGTCGCCGTGAATACTAGTCTACACTTGTTTTTGGTAACACAGATCTTGGGACGGCAGCCTGGACGTTGGGTGTAGACTGTCGATGGGTACAGTTGCTGCGACGATAAGACAAGAAAACGTTGAAAGCAGTTGAAAGCAGGATCCAACTGTGAACCTCAATGTTGTCATGATTGGCGCGGGACACGTAGTGCGTCCGTTCCGATATGCAGATAATATGCGGGAGCGCTATGGCAAGCAAGATCGACCCAAAAGGGTAAAGTCGCTATGCGCAAGGCTTGTAGCGACGACGAAAAGAGCAGGATGAATGAGCGTCAAGCGGTACGTATCGCCAGTACATGCAACTTAGTTAGTCGCCCACTACCGAACTGTAGCGAGATGAGAGAAGTACTGGGTTGGTTGCCCAGCATATCCAAAAGTGCAGTCTCGCGATATCATTGGTCGAACCGGTGCTTTACATGTGTTCCGGCTATGCACACAAATTCAACTGCAGCCCAATACATCCAAAATGCGGCTTTTAGACATGCCTTCTGTCGTAAGTCATGTACGAACCATGTCTGAGTGGTCCTGCTGACAACACGTCGAGCTGGCTCATTGGTCGTCGTGCTGAACGTATGCCCCTCAGGTGTCCACCTAACCGCGTCTTTCAGCCCGAGGGAGGAGCGGTAGTACACGAGTGATAACCTGTCGTATGTGACGAGCGCTTAAACCTACTCGCCGTGGTAGGGCTCCGGTCGCAGCATACTCAAGAACCTTGGGCAGCCCCATACGCTCTTGATCCTCTCGTCTGGACGACCCGCGCTCTCCTTCGCACGAACGCACATCGGGTGGTGAGTCACCAAGTCTGGAACACGATACGGGTAGCGGATGGCGGAGAAGAAACGTGGTGGAGTCGAGCCTTGAAGACGTATGAAGGCGATCGGCCGCTATTCAGGCCACTTAGCGTTCGCCACGTAAGTCGACTCTTCTAACCTTCCTTCCTGGCTCTTGAGACTGTTGCAACCTACTACGACCACTGTATAGCTTAGCTGACCTCGAAAGCATTTTTCTCAACTGGAAGAACGAGAAAGAACACCGTGCAGCCCGCACGAAAAGCACGATGGAACACACGGAACACGACAGATCACCCACGAGAACAGATGATCATCAGAGCGACGCCGACAAAGTGGGCGAAGTACTCGCAGACCACTGCGCATACCCACCTGATCAACGCATCGGTTCACGCACCTTCCCTTCGATAATCCAGAACGCACACATATCTGCGCCGCATGAGCTCGGCCACACAGGGGGATCGATCGACGGTAGGCCATGCGGGTTGCTGTCAGGATAGCTTTACGGACGAACGAACATGTCGTGGTGTCCATCGGCAACGCAAGCCAGGTCAAAGACGTGGAAGAAAGAGTACACAAGATGACAGTGTGAGTGCAGGCCGACCAGCTGACACTATGGGATAGGCAACTAAGCCCGGGGCATTATCGGCACTACCCGCTCACACCATCCGAGTGAGCACTAGCGTCGTCACGTGTTTGCCAAGCTGCGAAATTTACCCCACCAGCCGTCCTCCGACACAACAACACCACCGAATCCGACCCTCCGCCCGCTTCATCTCACGATGGTCGACCTTGCTGCATGGCGCAAATTCTTCGCCCGAACACCCGACCAGCCTTCCCTGACTGAGGGGAAAGCGCCGTATTGTCTCTCGCCGGGCCGTGCACCATGAGCTCTCCACTTCTATTCGCGGCTACGCGACGGTCACGGATTGGACAGCTTCAGCCCCCAATTCAAGCACAGCGGCTACAATCACCACAATCGAGGACGCAACCAATCATATAAACTGGAGACGGTCATTGCATCATTAAATACTGAGAATCTCAGGAATAGAAAGAAGCGACTGTAAGAGGTAACGCCCGGCCTTCCCTGTTCCGCATGCCATCGCTCAATGCCAGCTCTGCGTGCATCATTCCGCCTCTGGACCCAAAAAATGAATGGCCTCAAACTAAAAGAAAATACCGAAGCGGTACACATGAAACGAAACCGCAGACGCCCGCGCCATGACCGCTGTAACCTCAGTAGACTGCTTGCAGTCTACGGTTGCGCTCGCAAGACAGCTCATTGATTTCTCCATCCAGACTGCGAATCATCTCCATCGACTTCTCGATCGAAGCACCGAACTTGTGAGGCTCTCGCTGCCAGCGCCCGATGCGGTCCACCTCAGCGGCTCGACGGCGCATCTTGGTGTTGATCTTCTCACAGAGCTTGCAGTATGTTCCCGTAGGAATTGTCTGCATGATGAGCTTCATGCCACATGTCTCGCCGATTCGGTACTCCTTGGCGCAGTGCTGTCGGAAGTGGCCCCACTTCCAGTCGCCGCAGACGAACCTGTGTTGGTCGTAGAAGCACATGTTTCAGGCTGGAAGAGCTTGGACGTCTGATGTTCGGTAACACGTTAGTCTTGTTCACGAACCGCTTGGATATCAGCACTCGAACACCTACATGTTACTGTTGGTTCAAACACTGGACCTTTTTGATAGGGCCAGCGATCGCGTTCCTGGAAGTGGGTCAGCTCAGGGGTCACCTCAACCTTGAGCCTCAAAGACACATACAGAATGGTTGGATGGTAGGAGGGCTTTGGCAAAGACGGCTATGGTCTATACCCAAGAGAGGTGTTGTTGGTCAAGCCCGGTGTTGCAAAAGTTGGCTGAGGATCAGAGTCTATGGTCAATGACTGGAAGAGATCTTTGGACTGAGTGTGAAGAGACTGATATTCTGGCAGCAGCGTACCGCTATTTATCCTTCGAAACGAACTCCTCTCGCCGGCCTCGCCGGCCATCCATCGAACCCGAGCCCGCTTCGCTGTCAGGCCATAAATTGATGCCGTGGCCTATCCTTTCATCGACGTGGTAGCACCCCACCCGGTTCCATCCAACGATATCGCTACGATTCACGGATCCCTCTTACTCTGACGCTAGAGTAATGCGGAGACGGGCTGAAATGATACCCTAGGCCGTGCCGGCGTTTCCAGCTGCAGACAGTTATCACATTTGCTAGGGGATCAACGTGTCGTGGCTTCCTCAACCACGTAACCCTTTGTTCCAGATGCGAAAATCCCGCATGTTCCTTGTCAAGACGCCTTAGTTGGCGCTTGGGGTCGTTATGGTGTGTCCTTGTCGAGCAATCCGGGCCTCTCATGCCATATGAGATGGAGCATTCGTGAACCGAGATACGATCACGTGCTGCTTGGTGTATGCCGAGTTACAGTCCGGTTCAAGAATATTTTCCTGGGTCCAGTAAGCGATTGGCCAATGGCTCCCGCTATTGGTACCTCAGTGGAAATGCCACCAGGCAATACACGGGCCAACCTTGAGAGTCTCTAGGTTCCACTCCCTTCACCTCGAGCTATGGTCAACCGTTACAAGATGCACTGACCAGGCCCTGGAGAATAAGCAGTATCGTCGCCTGCGGTTGGGCATCGCTGTCTCCTTACGCACTAGTACGCCATGTGGTCACGGTACTTCGGGCATTTCTCATTTCCTACGCTACATGCTCGACCCCAAATTTTCCGTTTGTGGTCACGCTAATCAACCTGTGTAGCATCACTGAGCTTCACCGATGGTGCTCGGCTGTTTTTTGCGTCCACTAGAGATCCTCACCTTTACCGCTTGGCTGACACACAACATGCCGGTCTTTCCACTATGGTCTCGAAACGCTGTTGGCCAGTCACCTTATCTTGTTCTGCTGCAGACATGCGTCTTCGCCTTCGCACCTGGTCACCCAGCATCGCCACTGGGATGGAACGCTAGCAACATCCGCATGCATGTTGCATAGCACGGACTGGGTCCTTCATTCAGCTGATCGATATCCCCACTCAACGGCTGACTATGCCCGTGGCCGGTCCGTTGTTGACTGACTAGGCCCTGCACGCTGACAGGCATTCCTATCCTAGATAACAGGATGGCGTGAAGTTAATGCGGAACCTAAGCCGCCATCGCATATCATGGTAATCATCTGGGCCCCCGGACACACACTAGAACCAGCCAAAGCATGCCCCATCGGAGATCCTCTGACGTGGCGAGCGGTATATGGTTGAGTAAAGGAGAAGCCGTATCCCTGGCGTTGTCTCGCCATCTGTCATAGCTTTTACGAACACATCCGCGTTGGCTCGCCTGCCTTTCCGCTCATACTCAGCGAGGGATGCTTCCACCGGGCCTATGGGAAGGTTTTCTTCACTAGAACCGTCTTTACCGGTGAGCCCAAAAGGATGGCAAACAAGGCTTGAGCTATATTGTGTAGTCAATGCAGTGGCAACATGATGCAGTGTGC